TGCATATCTTCTATACATATAAATTCAATACAGTAAATGTATGGTGGCATATTTCTGCCACCACTTGTCAGATGTTTATGTCGACTTATCAGATATTTATGTTGACTTGTCAGATCCTTATGTCGACTTTTCAGGAAAAAAAATTTGTCAACTAGATGGCATGAACTGGGCATGGACACGTTTTCATTATGATTTTTTAATCACGTGAATAAAAGTGATGTCCACAAAAAGATCTGACAAGTCGACACAATTATTTGACAAGTCAACAAAAAGATCTGACAAGTCGACACAATTATTTGATAAGTCAACAAAAAGATCTGACAAGTTGACACAATTATTTGACAAGTCAACAAAAAGATCTGACAAGTCGACACAATTATTTGATAAGTCAACAAAAGATCTGACAAGTTGACACAATTATTTGACAAGTCCACAAAAAGATCTGACAAGTCGACACAATTATTTGACAAGTCAACAAAAAGGTCTGACAAGTCGACATATCATGTTATTCATACATTACATGTAGGTGATTTTAGTCACGTCTTTGGATGGCAGACTTCATTCCAAGACATTTAATTCATGAACAAGTAATCCCAAATGTCCACATTGGGGGGGGGGGGGGGGTTGCAGTTATCTTATACAGGGTCTTATAAAATCATAAAACGACATCTTAAATAGAATAGGGGATACCGGTGGGGGACATGTATTGCTTATGCAATACTCTCAGAATGCTTGTTCTCTTACATTTCGAACAATGAATATTTGGATTAATTTATATACACAACCACTTTGGTAATAATATTTTTATGTATTTCTTCCTTAAATTTTCCAAGTTGGGCACTATAAAATAAAGTCAAAATCGCTCTCCATTTCATTCAGTTAAGATAATGTGCATTTTCTATCATTTCTATCGAAATCCTTTAAGGAGGTTGGATCCTGCCACCAAAAGTAATGAGATTTTTTTATCAAGTATATTTTAAGAATTTACACACATAGCTTAATTAAAAATCAAAACAAAAACTGGGGGTCAATGCGCTTCTTTTGGCGCTACAGAGCATTTAGTTTGACCTTTTTGCACTGTAAATACGTCTTACACATAAATCAATTTTTAAAGTTTTTCCTCCAATATTTTTTATTCAAATAAATTATGGGTACAAACACAGCCTTATTTCTTCTCAAATAGACACATTAAAATTTGTGACAACGAAAAAAAATTCAAATCACTGCGCATGTTCAATTATTTGACCTTTTTGCACTCAAAAAATTTCATTTTTCTGGCATTAAAAATTTAACAAGCAAAAAAATAATTTGAAAGTAATGACAATTTACTGAATTTAAGAAGAATGGTTAAAAGTATCTTATATATTCAGAAAATAAAATAAAAAGTGGGGGTCTGTGATGTTAATTTTTAGATATTACTAAAATAGTGCTAATTTTAAGCTTAAAATAGGGATATTTTTTTTCTTGATTTTCACATAATATTTGCTATATTTATGAAATATGATGATAGAATCTATGACAGTTTATTTGATATACAATTTAGGACCAATATAAAACAGTTCACTGTACAAAATAACTTTGTGTGCAGGCTGCATGGAAAAATAGGAACCCAAACTTAACATACTTTAAACACTTCGAAAGAGAAAAAAATGATCATTTTCTTCTAAAAATCCTTCCGCCACAAAATATAGTTCCTTACTTATTGCTTTTGGTATGGAATTTAATCATGGAGTTTTAACTAAATATAGTTTAATTGGCATTGTAGAATCCAAATTTATTGTAAGAATTAAAACTTTATGCAGAATTTTTAAAATATAGGTTAAGATGTAAATCTGATCAAAAGCTCAGGAGCGAACCTCGTTAAGGCACATTTTTCATCACAATATGCAAGCATTAAGAAATTCAATCCTAGAAAGTTATATATAATTATGAAGACTTGTCAGCCAAATATGTTGACAAATGGATGGCACAAAAATTAATTGTGAATTGACACGTTTTTCGTTGAATTTTTAATTACGTGAACAAGTGACAACTCGACAATATTTTATCTGACAAGTCGACAAAATTATCTGTCAAGTCGACAAAAACATCTGACAAACAAAAACATCTGACAAGAAGTAGCAGAAATTTCTTATACTTTATAACTACGTGAAATCCTTTGAATTGTGTCATGGAAGGAAAAACTTTTCATATTTTTTTTCCTTCAAAAAATTAATAAATTAAAAGTAGTAGAATACTTACAGCTTCAAAAAAACGTATTTACTGGTATCTGGACGCAATCAATTGTAAGAGCAGTGTCTACAACAAATCTTACTTTTACGTGGATACGTGCGCTTCCGACTACATGTGTTTTTTCCTGTCCGGAATCACATGTGCAAGATGCATGACATCGTTTGTAAAAACACGAAATTCCGTTTGACATTCAAAAAAAATTCTTTTAAGTCGTATTTATTCGATATTATGACGTTGCTAAAATTTTGAAAACTTGGTGATTTTATGTAAGAGCATTTATTTGATTACAGTGATATCCTCAATTATATATATATATATATATATATATATATATATATATATATATATATATATATATATATATATATATATATATATATATATATATATATATTTGCGCGCATCAATTGACTTAATGAGAGCAATATTTAATTTGTTGAGATCGATGACAGCAATAACTATTTTGATGTGCGCATCAATTCAATTATTGTGCGCCAAATTGGAATGAATGATAAAAGGTCATTTGGGGGCATTAAAGGTCACTGAAATTAAAAAAAAAAACAAACAAACGTTATACTTGTTTTGTTCACAATTTTCGAGAAATATTAGAAGATGCTGCTTGACATAACAATTACTTACGACCTGAGTGTCACGATTTTGACCCAAGGTCATTTGGGCAAGTTCAAAGTCTCTAGCAGAAAACATGTAAAATTGGTGTGATGTATCTTTGACACTATCGTCCTACCCTATACCAAGGGTCATGATTAGAACACCTGCTATATCTCTCATTTGTCTGGGACAGAGCCCAGTGCCACCAAAAACTTGAATCTCCATCACACATGGATAGTTTATAACAAGTTTAGTTTTAAGTGCCCCAGTGCTTTTTGAAAAGTTTAAAAATTTAAAAGTTTACAAATGACACACAACATACAAAAGATACAATCAGGGACACATCAATCAGAAAATAATATGTGTTTGTGAAAATCTGATGCCCCCGTATGGCAGCTCATGGGGAAGGTTAAAGTTTCTCAAATGCAAGTCAAACTCCAAGGTCAAGAGATACAAAATAATGGTAACCAAAGAAAGGTATTGTCACAAGAAAAACACCTATGAAATAAGGAAAACTCTAGCACAAACCGTATAGCCCAAGTTAAAGTTTTTTTTTTCAACCTCCAAGGTCAAAATTAATGATGCCCAAGGGAAGGTCTTGACACAAGGAATAGACGTGTGAAATTTGAAAGCCCTAGCACCAACTGTTCAAAACAGTTTTTCAAAAGTAGGTCAAACTTCAAGTCAAAGTCAAAAGGTCAAAATTGTTTAACCCAAGGGATGGCCTTGTCACAAGAAAAATGTCTGTGAAATATGAAAGCTCTAGTACTAACCATTCAAAAGTGTTGGCCAAGGTTAAAAATTTTTTTAAGTAGGTCAAATTCAAGGGTCAAGATCAATAGGTCAAAAATGTTTGTACCCAAGGAAAGGTCATATCACAAGAAATATACAGGTGAAGAACAAAAGCCTTTGCACCAACCGTTAAAGGTTATGGATAAGGTTGAAGTTTGGTAAAATTTAGTGGGTCAAACTCCAAGGTCAATCAAATATGTTGGTACCCAAAGAAAGGTCTTGTCTTCAGAAATACACCTATGAAATATGAAAGTCATAGCTCCAACCAATCAAAAATTATGGACAAGGTTAAAGATTTTGCAGACAAACAGAAAAATAAATATCATTTTTAAAATATAAACCATAATACCAAGGTAATGAAAACAATGAATTGCTAAAGATGATTTAGTCATATTGCAAATTCAATTCACATTTTTCAAATTTCTTTATGCCCTATGGCACATCAGAGAGTATAACACATGCACATTATGAGCAGTAACACATGATCATATTTATTAAATTTATAATATAAATTTTGTTTATTACACACACACACACACACACACCCTCCCTCACATACACACACATATACAAATTTTCTGTTAAAGAGAAATAAGTGCATGTAGCTGAAAACTGGTTTGTATGTATCACATAAAATCACAGGAACTAAATACAGATAATGAACATAGTGTGTTATTTTAAATGAATCATATTATGGCACTTCTAAATATAAACATAGTAAAAAAATCATACAATTTCTAATATACAAAATGTATGCTACTTAAGCTAATGCTTTGATCATTATACTTTTCATAATGAGTTAGTGTTATACATTGTTAAAACTGAGAATAATCTTAATCTATACATTCTAAATTAAATATCATTATTATCTTTTAACAATAAAAATATCATTATCACTGTCCACTGTATTTGCCACATGTAAATTGTGCATATACAGTTACATGTAGCTGACAAAAAATCTTACATGTATCCTCACAAATAATAAAGAAACAACAGCAGTATTCATTGTGTATACTTGTATAAATACAGTAAAACTTTCTTAAAACAACTATGCATGGCCCATAAAATTTTGCAAAATTATACAACATCCAGATTGGAATTTAGTAAGAATGTTTATATAGATAAGAATATTTAAGGACATACGCAACGTACCTTACCTACTGATAATTTTTCAAGATATTCTTAATTTAAGATTATAGTGCCATCAGATGTTCATAGACAAAAAATCAGCATGCATTACCAGAGGTTTTGAAAAAATATCAATTGATGAAAAATCTTGTATACTTCAAAGAAAAATATTCAAAAATTACTAAACATATATTCTAGATATTTTGTTTATCTAAATTTGTTTTAGAAGAAGTGTACAACAGCATATTTAGGCATTAAAATGTAGCACACAGTTCCTTTAAGTATTGGAACTCTTCAACTCCAGGGAAAAAGACAATAAAGTTCAAACTATGTTGTGTATGTCCTTAAGAAATCTACAGAAACATATGGAAACTAAATATTTATCAGTAATGCAGGGGGTGTCAGAAATGCAGAACATATGCATTGAACAACATTTACTGTACCTATATATCTTTCATATGATCAAGTGTACAAAAAAGAGTAAGTACAGTTGAACCTTGATATCTCAAACATGAATACCTCAAGATCATGGATATGTTGAAGTAAATTTAAAGTCCAAACAACTTTTTTTTTTAATTTTACCCTCAATATCTTGAACCCTTATCCTTGGACATCTCAAAGTTTCCAGTCCCATTGACTTCAAGATGACAAAGTTTCACTGTATATCTAAATTAAAGTAACTAAATTTTGCCTCTATATTTTGTGGAATCCATTATAACCCCGGGTGTGGACTTTGTGGGTGGGGAAGGCAGGATCAATAGCAGTTATTACCAGACTTCTTACAAGATCTGGAAGAAGCTTTCTAGAAATAGAGAAATGAAATTATATAATACATGTATGTTAATTTAAATTATCAAATGACTTTTATGATTTAATATTAATATATTTGGCAATTTATACCTGAAATTATGAATTCATTGTGAAACTAAGAAATGCAAACAAAAAATCTTGCAGCTTGTACTTTCCATATACTTGTATACATGCAGACAAGTATTGTTTTTGAAAGGGGGCAGCCAGAAAAAAAAAAAAAACTTACTTGAACAAAACTTTGACAAGCAAAAAAAAAAAAAAATTGTCCAAACTTGAAAATCCTATTGCATGGGGGTGGGGGTAGATTCCGACTTCTTTCACAACCAAATCTTATTTTTATATTTTATATTTCCACATTACCTTGATTTGACTATACTGCAACAAAAAGTGGAGGGGGCAACCAGCCTTTCAATGAACATTTTTAACAGTAAATTTAAGGTTATGTTTGGAGAAAAGTGTGGGGGCCAGCCCCTCCCACCCCCCCCCCCCCCCCCAATACTATGTGCCTGCAACTAATAGCTTTTAACAACAAACAACTAAATGCCTCGACTACATTGATTTTTTATAGAGTTAGTAAAGAAACTAAATATTTATATACAAATTGAAAACTTTTTATGCTTTAATTGACATGCTTAAAGATGCTAGAAAATGATTTGCTTACTTTGCACAGGCTGGGGCTCCATTGATTTCTATTAAGTGCACCATCATTTCATCATCCACAACAAAATCAAAACCAAACAGCTGAAAACTTTGGTACCCAAGGAAGTTTGTTGAAATTCTCTGAAAATTAAAGTAAAGACTGCTCTTCAGAATGACAATTACCGGTATAATGCCTAACTCCACTGATTGCCCCTAGGATGGGTAAATAAGAAGACCCTGGGCCACAATGCTCACACGAGTCACCTTGTCCTTGCTGTTCTTTAAAAGAGATTCTAAAGAAATTTTTTCCTTCAATTATTTTTATAAAAATTTTGCACTTATATCCAGCATGTAAGGGCTTCACCCTAGACACCGAGATCATGATTTTATGACAAATCTTGCTGTTACATGAACTGGAAGATGCTTGCATATCAGTATAATTCATTGAAAAGATATTTCCTAGATGATTTGATCCCCTGTTGTGGCCACCCCCCCTCCCCCCCCCCCCCCCCCCACTCCAGGGGCCATGTTTTGAATGTATCCAATTCTAAATTACAATGTAAACCTTTATATTCTTATATTACAAGTTGACCCTCTAGTGACTCCATCCTACCTCTGAGGACCATGATGTGAATAAATTTGAATTTGCAGTCATTAAGGAAACTGTCTAAGTTTTGTCTTTTCAGGCTCATTGTTTCTTCACAGATTTTTTTTTTAAATGACCCTTTCCTATTATCCTTACTTCTTATTTATTTCCTCTCATGAAAGAGGGTGTGGCTGCTCATGTAAGAAAACTTGAATTCCCTTCACCAAGGATGCTTTGTGGCAATTTTAGTAAATAGTCTATTGGTATTAGAGAAGAAATTGAAACCATGAAAAAATTAACAAAATAAAGACACCAGACTGACAGACTATAAACAAATGTTGGTTAGAAAAGCTCACTTAGGTCTTTGTTATTTGTCACCAGATGCAACATCTATGCAAGTTTTGGTCAATTAGGATTTATATTTACTTAGCTATTTTCAAGTTAAAGTAAAATATGTTATCTGAATGAAAATATCTATCCATAATGCAATCAAACATGCAATGCTAGTCATTTTAAGACATACATATCCACTTGGGGTTAACCTGCTCCAGTATATTTAATCATTCATCTGGAAAAATATATGTCACTTGCAGCATCTAAAACATGACTGATAGTATGCAGTATTAGAGGCATTATCCATGTAAGTTTGCATAACAAATGAATTGTAGGGACTTTGAAATGGAAATACTCTAAAACCTTTGATTTATTCTTGTTCTTTCAGTAAATACACATGATTGTAAAGGTCAAATGCAGCATCTAAGGCAAGTCTGGTAACATGCAACCAAACCTGCAACATTTATGCAATATTGGTCAAGTGTGACTTTTAGTTACCGGTACTCAAAAATAGACCTGTTGCAAATAATGCTAGGGCTCTAATGACAATCTTTCAAAAGAAACTATACTTTATGGAGGCCCGAGGTGCTTTGTGGCAGAGAACAAAATTTGAAAAGCATATTTGCACATCTACATAAAAGGGGTAATCATACGACAATTTTTTTTTAAAATAGTTTTTGCTACCACTTGCAATGTTGAAGTTTTTATGAAAAACTTAAACCAAACCATTTAGGCCTCTTGGACCCCCAAGGGCTGAAAAACAATTTAAAACCTTATTGCACTTCTTCAATACAGAGTAACCAAAATGTGAAAAAGAATTTTCAGCTAACTCTACAAGTGTAGAAGTAGTTCTGATAACAAGAGTGACTTGATGGAAGAAAAGATGGGTACCCAACCTTTCTTTAGAAAGTGATGGTAAGAAAATTCACAACTTTTTGACCATTATTTACCCAACATTAACACAATCTAATAATTTCACACAGTGCAGAATAGAAATGTACTTTTCAGTTATTTGCATTCAAGTACTTCTGTAACTATACCTCTTTCACTATTTTGAACACAGTCTTTACAATGTCCTTAATCTGAGGCAAAATTGCTGTATCTAATGTCACTCCAAACTTTGATTGCAGGTATCTGTAATTGAAAACAAACAGAGACCAAAAATTACTACATGTACCATAACATTCTGCACAATTTCCAGCTTACATATTACAAGAGATAATATAGCTGCAGAACTGTAGCTCTCTCGCTAAGAAAATTCAGACAGACAAATCAGAGAGCTACAGATCCAAGCATTGTAAAAACCTTTCATTTACGGCACCACTTTTTTTTGTCGCAAACTTTGGGTATTATTTCTTGTACTATATGCACATCCCCCCCCCCCCCCCCCCAAAGCATGGTATCCATTATAATGTATAAGCAGAAATTTTAGCGAGGATTCAATTTTGACATTTTTAGCGAGAGTGTTTAGATCACTAAAATTAAATATGGCTAACAATTTATTCCACATTAGAGGTTACCTTTATCTTTCTATGCACCATATAATCGCTAAAATTACTTTTCACTAAAATTAAATACTGATTTTTAAGGACAAATCGCTAAATTTGCATATCGCTAACAAGAAGTCTGTGAGCCATTGCTCACTAATAATACCCCCGCTCTGATGTGAAAAACAAGTTTAATTATGGACAGACACAGTGATAATCAGGAAATTGACATCGGATTTGTACAAAAATGAATCCTAACATATGGCATGCCTAAACAAAGAGTGTGCTAAAATTTCAAGCATCTGTGATGAGTAGTTGCTGAGAAAACTGCCACCCAAATTTGTTATGTATGGTATGGACAGACGCAGGGATAAACAGGAAGTTGACATCAGATTCGTACAAAAATGAATCCTAACATATGGCATGCCTAAACAAAGAGTGTACTAAAATTTCAAGCATCTGCAATGAGTAGTTGCTGAGAAAACTGTGACCAAAATTTGTTACGGACAGACTCACAGACAGCTAGACGGACGGACAGCTAGACAGACACACAAGGGTAAAACAGTATACCCCCTCTCCTTTGGAGCGGGGGTATAAAAATTCCACTCATACAATATTAACCATATGTTTAACTCCTAATCTTGATACTTCATTTACCTTTCAGCAGTCCAGACAGCATGACTCCAACAGGGATGATGGAATGTGAATTTTTTGAAACTGACAATCCAAGCCACAAAGGGTTCTTTGGGACCATTAAAAGGTAAATGAAATAACAACATTGTGAGTAAAATATATTGATTATTAATGGATACCTATTACCATGCTTTTAGCAGGGAAATGCATATAATACAAGAAACAATACCAACCAAAAAGGGGCACCATAAATTGAATGTTTTTACAATGCTTGGATCTGTAGTTCTTTGGTTTGTCTGTCTGAATTTTCTCAAACAGAGAGCTATGGTTCTGCAGCTAGAGACAGTATATCTTAGAAATTAAGTAATCTCTTTAGAAATAATGTAGTTGTTACTAAAATTTCAAAATGACCTGTTAAAGGCAGGAAAGAACATTTCATTGCCCTCCTCATACATTCCAAAGTTTGCCGATAAATCTTTTTGCAGACAGTGATTGGTTAGATGGCTGGTGACATCATCAAGATTCTCCCGTTGGTAACTTTCTGACGCTGTGCGTAAAACTCCCTCCTCAAACACATACACATTGTAGTTGGCATCCAGCAACACCCAGCATCTGAAAAATAAACCATCAAATAATTATGTGAATTTCATTAAAAAAAATATATAAATTTGCATTTTCAATAAGTGCATGTGCACAAACATATAAATGATTAAATGTATGATTCATGACACCTGATATCAAATTTGCGATCCTCTTCCAGAAGTAATGGATTGTGTATATATCTCTGGATAACAAAAGCTTGAGTTTGTTGATCAACAAATTTAATCAGCTCAGATACATCTGGGGATATTTTTATCCCCTCTCCTAAAACAATAAAAAGTGTAAATGAAAAAACACATCCAAACTCAAAACAGAAATTTAAAAAAATATCAAAGATGGCAACAGCACAATTCTCTCATTTTAGCATGGACACAAGTAATACCGGTATATCACATAAATCTAATGCCATTTTGATGTTACAATTTATAAAATTTACTGATCCTTACCTTTTGAGCCTGAAGAAGATTTGGCAATCCAGACAACTGGTTTCTTATTTTCTCTGTTGAGAGCTAATGATCGTTCCTTTAATTCTTTTCTCTCATCTGGTTTGGACACCCGCCTGCGTACAGGATGAGAAGTGGGTGGAACAGATTCCATGTTTTTTGTTATATCTTTAGGACAAATTATAAAAGACTCTGGAAGCCATTTTGGTATGGGTTTTGCTGATGTGGTGTAAAACTGCTTGAAAACTCTGGAAAGGCAATGTAAATAGGATAATCAACTGCTTACAATTGACAAATTTCAAGCAAATTATGCAACTGAATTTTATCTACAGTTTGCATTGCAAAATTATTTTATCAATATTTTAGATAATCATGAGGATTGATTATCTTATGATGATAAAGTGAAAAGAATGTATATTACATGTCATGTCACTGGATCTACTCTATCATGTCTACAATACATCATGTCACTGGATCTACTCTATCATGTCTACGATACATCATGTCACTGGATCTACTCTATCATGTCTACGATACATCATGTCACTGGATCTACTCTATCATGTCTACGATACATCATGTCACTGGATCTACTCTATCATGTCAACTTTACATCCTATTACTGGATCTACTCTTTCATGACCCAATGTCTTACCTTACTAATGCAGTTTTTCTACAAATGACATCTGATCCCCTATAATAATTCACCAACTGAGTAAGTCCTGGTTCATGACCTACAGCAAAACATGAACAACCATCATAGAGAGAAGCCAAGAACTAACATCTCTGCATTTCAATCCAAACTTTTTAACATCTTCTATTAACCTGCAAGACATTATGGTGTACTTTAGTACACTCATTCCCTCAATTCCTCCTCTTATGACAACTACCTGAGAATTCAAGGGTGATAAAACAAGGGAGCAGGAATGTGATGAGCAAGGACAACAAAGCAAGAATGTGAAAAAAGTGAACAAGGCTAGTTTAAATCCTGCCTCCTCATCTTAACTCTTACTTTCTTGTTTCTTCTTTCCAAGAGTTATCCCCCTTCAATTCTGCCCCCTACCCCCTCACATTATTGCCTTTACATTCTCAGTCCCATGCCTAAAATTTTGTGCCCTTGCTCTTTGAAAGAGGAAATAGGGGAAGAAATTAGCCTATCAAAACATCATAAGACATAGCCTTGTACATCTTAATCTTACTCTTGAAATTACTGTCACGAACAAGTGATTGAATGATTGAATAGTTTATGAAGAGTCTAAAATTGAGAGTATCAATTGTTATTAACTTGTCATACAAAATATTTATGAATAGATACTGTTATAAAAAAAATATTGATTAAACATTAATAATAGTCTTTCAACAAATAAGCTTCACATATTTTTACAAATATATCCCTGTAAGAATTAAAAAAAATACCAAGCCTTCCAAACTGTAGCTTGTTTCTCTCCCCAAACATAAGATGGAAGCTAGCTACATTGGAGGGCAGTTTTCTCCAGTCTTCATCATTATCCACCAGGTATTTAGACACAGCCTTGTATACAGAACTATGGATGTCTCGCCTGACAAAGCCATACATTTCTCTTTCTGAAATTAAAACTTCATTTTCATGATGATAGCCATCTACATGTTTCTTCTTAAGTTTTCATTTTTTTTTTTCTTCAGGTTTGTAAAAAAAAAATTTAAATAATAATAATAATATCTTTTAAAAAATCATAAAAGACATGAAATAAAAAAAAGGCTCCTTGAATAGCTGCAGAACTGTAGCATTATGATTTTATATTTTAGTCTGAGACCATAACGCTACAGATCCTGTAATGCAAATATTGTGCAATTTACTGCACAAGATTTTCTGCGCACTTTGGGGATGTATTTCGCCACTTTCCAGGATTTGTCAATCAACTACCTTTCATTCCCTAATTCTAGACATAGTCTATAATCAATCTGTATATTTTATCCATCTCCTTACCCTTTCTAGTCGTCTCTATAGACCAAATAACCTAGACTTGCTGTGAATTTTATGCCATCCGACAACAAATTCATCTTTGTATTTATATTTAGACTATTTTTTGCGATTATAACAATGTTTCACATCTAAGAAAAGGGATTCATTCTCACAAAATGCTTTAGACCAACATCTCATCATAGTGCATTTTAGGAAATATATAATAAGTTTATTAATATAATACAGTGATTAGTTTTCTGATAAGCTGATATGAAGTACATGTTTTATTGCTCTTCAAAACTGTCCACCATAGTCCACACATTTAAACTATAATGACTCTCTCACTAAGGGCGAAACGATTACATGTGTAAACGGCGACGTTTCGATTAAATGCTCTAAACGTTTACGAATTGTGTAAACATTTACACGAAGGTCATTATCAATGTCTATCAGAAGTAAAGATAAATACAAGTTGTTTAATTTCATATTTACAAAAGAAAACAATTGTTTTCTGTTTAAATCGATACCGGAAACATGTTATTAAACTAAACTATCTTAAACCCAATTGCGTCTAACATATTTGATTCCGATTTCCGAGTAGCGAATACTAACGATTTATTATGATTTTATTTTTCCAAGTATAAAATTTGAATTACGTTGATTAAATAAATATAATACGTTTTCACCAGTCTTTGAAAAGTGTTTCAACACAGTCATCAAATCGCGGTATACTTAATTCAGGATTAAAAGAGCCATATTTGCAAGTTTAATTTGACAATGCTTTTTCTACGTCCGGTATGTACGCCCGGTATGTAGCCAAACAAACTATTAATGCAGTGTAAAAAGTGAATGAGTTTTATGCGCTTCATATTCTTTCGTCATAAAAACCAACAAAAAAATAGTTATAACAACTCATACTTACATTATAGTGAAAGAATAGAGTATTAAATTAGTGTTTAATGAGTAAGTAACCATAAAAATTCAACACAAAATATTCTCCCATTTAAACGGTAACGTTTCGTTTACTGCTGTTCGTTTAAACGTTTACAAAATTCAGTAAACGTTTCACCCTTACCTCTCACATACATAGTCTTTTTTTTTAAAAAAGAAAGTTTATGTAAAAAACCTTTATTTAAGGAAAATTTCACGTTATTAAAGTGGCTAAGAACAAGGCATTTATCAGCCTATAACCTGATAATTTTATAATTAAAGGGAAACCCTTTAACTTCAGCAGCAAAACATTGTAATTTAATTGTGGCACTTTTTAATAGGATATTCACACTGAATGTTAAATTTTAGGTGCAAGAAATATAAAACATGCATTTTCTCACCATATACATGATTTTCACCAACCTATTAAGAAATATAGAACATGCATTTTTCCCACCATATACATGATTTTCACCTACCAATTAAACTCTGGGATTGTCTATGACCATCGCACCTGTGAAAACCATCTACAAAATAAGAGGAGTTGTTTCCCTTGAAAACACATTTCTAAATTAATCTCACTCCTGAGCATCCATGGAATATCATGATAACTCCATAAATTCTCTGTATTTTAGACATATAACAAAAAAAACAAAACCTTTCGATAAAAGACATCATGTTGAACATCTTCGGATTCCAGTGTTTATATCTCACATGGTGACTGACATTAGAACTCTTTAAAGAAAAAGGTACATTTAGTCAATATTATCTAATTCTTTGTCAATCAAACGTTTGATAGAGTAACAATCTTACATTAAATTGTGGAACAAAAATTGACATCGACAGTTATGTACAGCCACAGAATGTAACCAGCTGCGTGTGCTTCATTTCAACGACGATCGAGGTGACTATGGATGACAGAATCGTAGTACGGAAGAAGAGAGGCCGACCAAACAGAGGAGGAGGGCGCTTTAATCGTGGTTCCTCAAAAAATTCACGAGGAAGAGGCAGTCGAAGAGATGACGACCGACAATATGGAGACAGAGGGAGGGTAGAGAATGATGACAAATACCGGTATACAATATTGCAACTTTCCCTTGAAAGTGTATGTTTTTGATATTTACAATGTGATTGTTGGGCGAGCGTATATGATCACTGTCAAAATAATCTAATGATCCTGAGACATAGTAATAATATGTTTTACGGTGTGACCGATGGGGCGAGCGCAGTTGTACCATCAAAAACCTATACACAGCTTACACTTGTAACATAATGATTTGCCTCTTCAAACTTCAAACTGCACGAGACACTGTCTAGAAAATGACGTCACATGACGTTGGAATTTACGGAGGCAGCCGAGTATCTGGTTGAACAAGACTACAGGTCTTGTGCAATATGTTTAATGAAATTGTAAAGTAGATGCAATTATTTTTTCTTTCTTTTGAGCTCTCTGTAAAGAAAGAAAAGTAAACGTATCTCTTGACTTGACTTATAGCTGTTCGCTCCTTGGGGAGCATAGCTCTGCAAAGAAAGAAAAGAAAATGTATCTCTTTGTAAGGAACAATTATCTTTGGTCTTTTGTATGTTTTGTAATATTTTCGTATGGAATCCTGGTAGGGAAAGAATTCTGGGAATGTTGCACAAGAAAATCTGCATGACGAATGTACAGATGTTATTCCTAATTTCTTCTGTTCATACATGTTAGTCTATTGACTCGCTAACATGTTAATGGTGCGACCATTATGGCAAGCACAGACATCAATTCAGTTTTAATTTAGATCTGCCTTTTCAAACCACACGTGACATTTGGAACGTCTAGACTCTGATGTCACAGGATGTTGTAAGTTGCAGTCTGAAAAGTGCAAATTTTGACAAAGAACATTTTAATCTACTATTTATTTACAATATCCATTTTTGTGAGTTTTTTTTTTTGGGGGGGGGGGGGTGAGCTTTTGTTGCTACCATGAGAACAGAGCTAGGTTACTGCATAAAAAAATCATTTGAATCAATGTGCAAAGTCCGAATTTTCTCTTCACCTAGGCGTTGTCATTAGAGCTTGCAATGCAACCAGCATTTCACGCAACTCACTATTATTCTAACTAATAAGTCAGACATTGAAACCATTAAGGCCAGCACAGTTTCTTTGTGTAATAATTAGTGAATTCTTTACCTTTAAAATGATGGGTCATTGGCATCTGAATTTTTATCAATATGAACAATTACATAATGAAAGTAACAAAGCCATAGAACGAAAAATGTTTAATTTTTTTAAACTAAGAACATTAAAATTGCCATCTGTCTACAATATCTGTTGATTCAAAGTTAGTTTATTTATTATTTGTAAACTTTTGTTTGATTGTCATGAGAATTTGTTTGTGTGCCATATGCAATATTATTGAGCATTATGGGTACTGAGTTTACTGTGAAAAAAAATTCATTTGGATGGTATCCAGTCAACTCATACCCATTCCGACTCGTACCCAAACCGAGTCGTACCCAAAGAGTCAACTCGTACCCAAAACTGAAGTCATAAAATAAATAATGAAAACATTTCAATTTTTGATATATTTTCATAAAGATATCTGATTTATTATTCCAATTTAGTTACACTACTTATATTTTATAAAATAATGACAATTGAATTTGTTTGAAAAATTCAACTTGGCATAATACATGTATACATATAGATAGGGCCTAGATAGATTCTTTATTTCCAAATCAATGCCCTTTCAGGCATCACAAACAACAAGCATGATTTATGCAATTACAAACAGCACAGACAAATTATGTGTATACTAAATAATCTATAGTACATGTGTATGTCTTTTCATAATATAGTATAACACTGTATATGTAAGTAACAGTTTTGGGTACGAGTTGACTCCTTGGGTACGACTCGGTTTGGGTACGAGTCGGTTTGGGTATGAGTTGACTGTAAATCATTTGGATCAATGTGGACAGTCAGAATTTTCTCTTTGCCCAGGCATTGCTTTAAGAGCTTGCAGTGATGACCAATGCTTTGCACCACTTGCTGTGCTCACTATAAATACACTAAGAGTGTTCGAAGGAACGCATGTGTTGCCTGCTTTTTAGCTTCATTAAAGATGTAAATAAATCTAAGAGTGGTGAGCTTTTTATTTACTATAAGCATGATAGACTAATAGTTCATGTCTTTGCCTGCAAAGAAAAAAAATGACATCCATGGATAGTATGATTGCGATAGAATGTGACAATCAAAGAAAATATGGTTCCATAACCCTTAAATGAATAATTAAATTGAAATTATTAGAAATAAGTATTTGTCATTTTATTAATATGTGTTTCCAACAATCCCCCAAAAGAGATTTCAGTCTGTCTTTACTAAAATTGTCAATCTACACGATCCATTGTTGAAAACTGATCCCGATGTATTTTTTGGTATTTGAATATAAGTTTTTTTGGTAACTGAATATCATACAGTTTCAAAGTACTTTTTCATGAGCTAAACATGTTTCCAATAATCATTCAAAAGAAATTTCAGCCTTATAACTGAAATTCTCAGTCTACAAGATCCACTGTGGAACACCGATCCCGATGTATTTTTACAGTACTTAAAGATATAAGTTTGTCTGGTAACTGAATATCATATGGTTTCAAAATACACTATCATGAGCTCATAAACATGTATAAATGCTAATTGTCTGAACTTTGCCTCTCAAAATTCAAAAGTTATAAGTTTAATTAAACTGCCCGAGATATTTTTTGCAAAGTAGGTCAAAGGTCATGGTCAAGTGGATTGTAATGCTGGTATTTTTATATTGTCTTATGACAAACAGTGCACATGCTTATTAGCATAGACTTACCTCTTAAATGTCAAAAATATGCTGTATATCGGCAATATTGAAAAGTAGGTCAAAGGTCAAGGTCAAAGGTCACAAGTTTGGTAACCATGGTAATTTACAAAAGCCATTATAGTGCCAAGCAATATATGTGCAAAATATCAAATCCATGCCTCTTACAGTTCTTGTCTTGGGAGTGACAGACAGACAGACAGATGCCATGTAAAGTGATTCCTTAGTGCCACTCTGCTCTGCAGGTGACACAACTAGGTGTACAAAAAAGCCAATACCATTTTGGCCACCTCCTTGATTCAGGCTTGAATTAACCATAGAAATCAGATAAGCCTACACGTTTGCATGTAACTAATGGTTTGAATATGATAATTCTCACAATACATTGTTTCAAAACTTTGATTCCTCTGCATTTTTAATGCTATCAACTGAAATCAAAGCAAATTCAAACTTCCACCAAGGCTTGACCTCCATCAGATGATATAAGCTACATGTAATAGGGAAGTGGAACAGATATTAAGTGGATAAAGATCTTAAATAAAAATAAATAAAATTAATGTAAAATATGTAGAACTCATTACTGTAGATTCCTAAATGTACGCGAGGAATAAATTAACGCGTAATTACGCGAGAAGCACCACTCGCGAAATAAAATTACTCGCTTTTATTTTTATGGTGCTTTAATGCATGTAAAATCTCTAGATAAATCACCCATTCGCGAATTATTGTTCTCGCGATTTGATGCCCTTTGGCCTTTTCGCGATATTAAGTACTCGTATAAAATAAGGAATCTACAGTATTGTTTCACTGAATTTTATGGACGGTATCTCTATAATTTTCCTATGACGTCTTTTGTCTCCAAGTTGTTTCCCTTAATTGGCCACCATCTTGTAGATCAGAGTGGCAAATTTCCTCTTTGGGCAAACAATTTTTAACATGTATGATAGAAATTTATGTTGGAAAATCTTAACAATGTCGCAATTATGAATTAAAGGATGTTTTAACAAACATATATTCATAAGAAAAACAGTGTTATCTACATATCAGTGCCTAGTTTAACTTGGTTGAATAATGAAGAAATCCATGCATGTTGACCTACAATATGGCAGCCAATGGAAAATAAACTCTTGCTTAAATCGCTTTGATGGAAAACTATAATCCCACTGGTCTGCTAACCAAGTTATAAGTTGACTCTGTTATAGTGCTACCTCCTCTGTACCCATGAAATTTCGTGATGTCAGCTGACGGAGGTCAAGCTTGTGTGGAAAAGCATTTCATAAGGAGGAATTAAATTAGCAGTTATTGATACAGAGCATATTTGAATTTCACCAATGCTTATACATGTATTGTATAGGAATAATGATAATACTTTTTGATTGACTTAAAAAACCCCAGAGAATATCAATAAAAATTGAATTAAAATAGTTTGCTTCTTGTCATCATTCAACTTTAATCTGTCAACTTCACTTGTTAAAACTTAGCAGTTTCCAAAACTGATTGTCAGGTGAATAATATCACAATAGTTGCTTTCTTAATAGGGTGCAACAAATGATAATTTTGAAACAGGAATAGTGTATTCATTTTTGTGTGAAGACACTGTTATTAGGCAATTCATGAAGTTCTGTGAATAAAAGAGCATAAGTAATTAACCTTTAGAGTCAACATGTGTTTTTTTCTGTCAAAATGAAGATTTACAATAAATTGTACGAGACTGTAGTTCTTTGTGTTATGGAATGCTGACAAATCTTGATGATACATTGTGCAGATTGAAAACCCACTGTTCTCTTACACACAATTAAGAAACATCTATGCAAGCAGAGGTAACATTTCTAAACATCATTTTCGGGTAACATTTACGGTTTAATCCAGTATTTTTTTTTTAATATAAAAACAGAACCATATATGTATTATTGTGTTATAGGAAGAAGTTTGCACAAACAAGTCCTAGTTTTGAGAAAGAGGTCCGAGTACCCATGCAGAGACTTCAGATGACATCAGAAAACCAAGATATGGTTGAGGACATGCTTAGAGATTTACGTGGAGAAGAAATTGATACATATAGGTAGAGCATAGATTAATTTAATGCATGTCTTAGACGTTTTTTTAAGGAAATAGATATAAAAGAAAACATACATTTCAATTGTCTGTACACTTAGGTCTAATTTTTTATCCCGTTTATTATTATTAAAGATTGATTTAATTATGCTTTTACAGGCACATTGTATCATTTTTGAAAGGGGGAGGGGGGAGCCAGAAAAGAAAATTGACAAGTTAACTGAAAAAAAAATGAAAAGAAATTATTTTCCAAACTTGAAAATCCTATTTCTTTCATAGAAAGGGGGAGGGGGGGGGGGGAGGAGGAGAAGCTTCCAACCTCCTTTCATGACTAAATTTTATTCATGCATTACCAAATTACTATGATTTAACTAGAATGCTACAACAAAAAGTATGTGTGTGTGTGGGGGGGGGGGGGGGGGGACCAGTCTTTCAGTGAACATTTTCAATAGTAAAAGGTTATATTTGGGAAAAAGGGGGGTGGGGACAGGCCCCTCCTGATACTATGTGCCTGTTTTAGTAAAATCTTTTTCATATGCATTGTTTGGGATCTATTTAGTGATGAGGAATATGATGAGTTGGATGATCGCTATGAGGACCAGTACTGGTTGACTGACAATACACTGTATGTGGAGGAAGCTATAAACTACGCAGCTCCAGAACGTACAGGACAAAAAAAAACTCCAGTAGAGAACGTCAATAGATATGCTGTCAATAAATTAGTCAGGTATGTCTTGTGTTCATATGCAAACCTCAGCTTTGTTCAGAATTACTCAGTTGTTTTTTCAAATACATTATATTCATTGACATTTATAAAACTGTGAGTAAAAAAAAATTATTTTCTAGTATACAGGCAATATATCATTTCATTTTCATATTTTTTATGCCCCCGGATCAAAAGATCCCGGGGGTATATTGTTTTTGTCCTGTCTGTCTGTTTGTCTGTCTGTCTGTTGTCAACTTTAACCTTGCCCATAACTTTTGATTGGTTGGAGCTATGACTTTCATATTTCACATGTGTATTCCTTGTGACAAGACCTTTCTTTGGGTACCATCATATTTGACCTTTTGAACTTGACCTTGGAGTTTGACCCACTTTTGCAAAATTTTATGAGACTTTAACCTTGGCCATAACTTCTGAACAGTTGGAGCTTGGGGTTTCAAACTTCACATGTGTATTCTTTGTGACAAGGCCTTCTTTTGGATACCACCACTTTGACCTTTTGACCTTGACCTTGGACTTTGACCTACTTTTGAAAAACTTTAACCTTGGCCATAACTTTTGAACAGTTGGTGCTTAGGGTTTCAAACTTCACATGTGTATTCCTTGTGACAAGACCTTCCTCTGGATATCAACCACTTTGACCCTTTTGACCTTGACCTAGGAGTTTGACCTACTTTTGAAAAACTTTAACCTTGGCCATAACTTTTGAATGGTTGGAGCTAGGGCTTTCATACTTCACGTATGTAATCCTTGCGACAAGACCTTCCTTTGAATACCAACAACTTTGACCTTTTGACCTTGACCTAGGAGTTTGACCTACTTTTGAAAAACTTTAACCTTAGCCATAACTTTTTAATGGTTGGTGCTAGGACTTTCATACTTCACATATGTAATCCTTGTGACAAGACCTTCCTTTGGATACCAACCACTTTGACCCTTTGACCTTGACCTAGGAGTTTGACCTACTTTTGAAAAACTTTAACCTTGGCCATAACTTTTGAATGGTTGGTGCTTAGGGTTTCAAACTTCACATGTGTATTCCTTGTGACAAGTCCTTCCTCTGGATATCAACCACTTTGACCCTTTTGACCTTGACCTAGGAGTTTGACCTACTTTTGAAAAACTTTAACCTTGGCCATAACTTTTGAATGGTTGGAGCTAGGGCTTTCATACTTCAGATATGTAATCCTTGCGACAAGACCTTCCTTTGAATACCAACGACTTTGACCTTTTGACCTTGACCTAGGAGTTTGACCTACTTTTGAAAAACTTTAACCTTGGCCATAACTTTTGAATGGTTGGTGCTAGGGCTTTCATACTTCACATATGTAATCCTTGTGACGAGATCTTCCTTTGGATACCAACCACTTTGACCTTGACCTTGACGTTTGACTTTTATTTAAAAAACTTTAACCTTCACCATAACTTTTGAACAGTTGTATCTAGGTCTTTCAAATTTCACAGGTGTTTTCCTCTAGACAAGATCTTTCTTTGGGTATCAACATTTTTTATCTTTTGGCCTGGATTTTGACTTGCATTTGAGAAACTTTAACCTTCGACATAAGCTACCATACGGGGGCATAGTGTTTCACAAACACATCTTGTTTCTGAAGGAAGTTCATTTCAAGATTGTTTACAATAACCAAGTTTAAAAGATATTTCTAGTGTAGATGAATATCATACAGATTGGGTGTTTACATATCTGTTTATAGTTCTTCAATCTTGCAAAATTGATAGTTAAAAATCAATTGGATAAATTAAATCTATGGAACATTAGAATCACTAAAAAATATTTTGAATAATTACTCCTGTAGATTGAAAGATAATTCTTGTAGATGGATGCATTTTATTTTACAAGCACAGAAAACAATGTGATATTCTTATCTAAAAAGCAACACTTCATTATGTTTTCTTATGTGAATTAGAAAGGTATGATAGTAAATATTATTTTTATATATACCTCATATTTTTAATTTTATGTTGAGATAAAAAATTATTTATCTTTATTTAATCTTATATTTAAGCAACACTTCATGCTTCAAACTATTTTTCATTTGAATCTAATGCTGTTGTTGATGAAAATCAATGTTGGGAATTTTTAAAAAAAATGGTGAAATTTGGAAAAGAGGGATATTTCACCTTAAGGCAAAAGTTAAAATAGATAGAGGATTTCGTATATAAGATTTTGTTGATAACATTTGATTATTAAAGATTTTATGGCAGTTGTAACATTACTTTAGGATCAACTCTCATATATACATCTGTAACCAGCGGATGCTGGAATGGTAGATGAAAACTTGCATTTATTTCTTACATGTATGCAAGATTTAAAAGTTTTAATTTGAAGATTTTATAGGTTCTATTTCAAAGTAATCAAATAGATGTTTCCAGCCTGTATTCCATTTGTTTCTGAAATTAGTCTTTAATGATATCAACAGGTATGGATTTGAAAAGCAGAGGTGTATTGAGGCATTGCAGCTTCTTGATGGAGATATTGGATCATCTTTGGAATATCTCCACAGTAAATGTTTTGACTTGCCATTCCATGCAGATATCAGTAATGATGATGGGGATGATAGTAATGATAATGGAGAAACTGAAGATAAAGTATTTAAGAGTAAGGAGGAAAAGCTGCAGGAGGCAGGAGTGACATGGGAGGAAATAGAGGAACAGAGAAAGGAGGAAATTCTAGCTCTGGAATCTATCTATGCTGATGAATTTGAAGTTAGAATCCCAAATAGACTATGGATGTTCCGACTTGAATTGAAAAATTTGGTTGATATTGTGATGGAATCTGGTGGAGGTTCAAAAATAAGTGAAGAATTAGAAAAAGAGGAGAATTCAAATATATGTAAATTTTACCAGAAAGGAGCATGTCGGTTTGGTGAAAAATGTAAATACAAGCACTGTATGGAAGTGGCTAGCACAAAGAGTGAAACTACTGAAAAGGAAGACAAAGCTAACTTTGAACTAGAACTTCGTTTTAGGGAAGATAATGTATACCCATATGAACCTCCTATTATTGGGTTCTCTTCTTTAGTGCCAGGTTTTCCATATCCCTTATGTTTGAATATAACAGAGGGACTATTAAAAGAAGCCAAAGAGCTAGCTTCTAACCAGTCACCTGCCTCCTTCTCTCTTATAGCCTTGCTGGAAGATGATCTTATGATTGCTCAGTGGATTGAAAAGCCTCCTTTAGCCTTTAGTCTTCCAGAATCGGAATCTTCCATCATCCCTAGTTTAAGGCATTACAATAAACTTGGAAGCCTAAAGCCATCTGAAAGTTACCTTGCTCCAAAGAATTTCAATGATGAGTACTCGGAAAATTATGAGGATGAAGAGTCTGAGGATTTGAGAATAACGGAAGCAGGAAACAGTAAACAGACCAAGGGAGACAACAAAATTGAAGTAGACGTCGTGGAAGACAGACCTGTGCCACTGAAGAGAACATTTTCCAGAGAGTCAGATAGCAATCAATTATCAGAAGGAGAGCTCCTGAAGCAAAATAGAAGACTAAAAGATGAATATAAAAGAAAACAGGTATATTTTATCTGATATACATGTAAAATGATTTATATATTTGTACTTTGTTTCAGATTTAAGCATCAATGTTTGAAAAGTTTAAAAATGCCTTTGCCAGTGAATAATATTTACCTGAAATGACTTGAAAAACTTGACTATCTGTCTATTTTGTGAAGCTTTTTCATATATATTTTCAACTTTATCAACAAAAAAGCTGGGGAGGAGGGATTACACTAACTTTATGTACAAAGATATGTATTTATATTTAATTACCACTTTCTACCATAGGGTTCAAAGTCTCTGACTTCCATGATTTCTCAGAGGAAGCGATTACCAGCCTGGAACAAACAAGAGGACATTTTGGCAGCACTGAAGAACCACCAGGTTTTGGTAATCAGTGGAATGACAGGGTAATCCATTTCTAGTCAGAGTTTATGAAAATACTTAATATCTTTTGAAGATGTTTTATATTCTGTGAAATTTACTACTATCAGTTTTTAAGCCGGTTTTCCGTAGGAAAAATTTGATTATCAAAATGGTGAAAATGGTGGGCTGCCGGCTGCCAAAATGGTACATCATTTGTCAGGGATGTCACTCCTACAGTATTCAGAAAAGAGTGTTTTTTTTCTAATTTATTTGAGAAATACAAGTGCATGTACTGTTCACAGAAAAGAAAACCTGGTTTGCTCTCAAATTGACAGCTTTCCTCTTTTAACTAAGGATGTCAACGAATATTCGAACATTCGAATATTCATTCGATGAGTTGATATTCGAATATGAATTTAAGATTTGAATATTCGGTGTTTTTCAGATTTCATAAAAAGAAGTACTGTGATTAATAAATTTTTGATTAGAACAGTGATGGAATTATCCCTGTTTAATTTACTAGCGATCAATTTCGATCGCCTGATTTCTTTCACTACTTTCTTATCTTATAGATCTACTAAATTACATGTATTTTGTTTTGAGTACGGTGTTAAAGAATTGTACAATAATGTTTTATGTATAATACAAAACGTACTTTCATAGTTTTTATTAGTTAGATATGATCGGATCTAGAATAGAGGACAACAAAATGAATCTTAGAATGTCTCAAAGGCGTGAAGAGTATAAATTAATTGATCATTGAATGAATGTCCGATAGAATTAGTCTGTAATTAATATTGTAAAGGGCTTAATTTCAGAATAAATTTGTTAATTACTTGATTATCTCGGGTTGTAGATAATCCAGAATTTTATATTCACTATCGGGAAATTAGTTAATTACCTAGGAAAATTGTCTATGGAAATATTTGTTTACATTGTATCAAAGATTATAATCATATCTCTTATTAGGCAGATAATTGTAATTTATTACACGTACTGAAATCTGAACAGTATACCATTACGACTATCTTGCCTTTGGTAAGACGACTGGTTCCTCCGTTGGAGCTACTATAAATTCACATGTTTCATTTGTTAAAATTATACTTTTCTACATTTATAAATCATTTATTTATTTCAAACATTGACAAATATCAAATGGAATTTCTTACTGTACACCTACAAAAGGCTTCATACAATTTTACTTCCAATATAAGTATACCTACTCTAAACCTTTCATGAGAGTAGGATGATGCATATTTAATTAAAATAAAACAGATTTTACTTATTTTATCGAATATTCGAATATATTCGAATACTTTCATTGAATATTCGAATATGAATTATTAACAAAATTGACATCCCTACTTTTAACCCTTGTGTTGTTTTTGTGAGAAAAAAAAATACTGAAAATTGGTCAAATTATATGCATAGATGTAAAAAAAAAATTATTAATCGTCATTTCAGATGTGGCAAGACAACACAAGTGCCCCAGTTTATCTTGGATTCCTACTTAAGAAATGAGAAAAGTCTGAAGATATGTAACATCTTGTGTACGCAGCCTCGGAGGATTTCTGCCATGGCGGTAGCAGAACGAGTGGCTGAAGAAAGGGTGGACAAACTGGGTAGAATTGTGGGATATCAAATCAGACTAGAGAAAGTGCAGGTGATTGTTTCAAAGACATTCAATGTTTGTCAATAATGATTAAAGGAATAGGATGACTATTACAGAATCTGAGTTATTTTCATTTTGGAAGCAAAAATTGAGGCATTCATTGGTAAATACATGTATGTGTTGGAAACCATGTTAACAATGACGAAGATACCATGTACCAGTGTTTTCTCTTTTTTCATTTCGATTTTTAGTCCTCATTGACAAGACTGCTATTTTGTACTACTGGAATTGTTCTTAGAAGATTAGAAGGGGAACCAGATCTTAATGGGGTGTCACATATTATCATTGATGAAGTACATGAGAGATCAGAGGAAAGGTTTGTCATTTAAGAAATAAGATACAATGTTTTTTAGTTTTATTGGGATATGACATGAAGTGGCCGGGTCATGTTATCAAATCCTATAACACACAAAGGGCATTATAGTAGATTTGATCACGTACCAACTTCATGTCATATCCCAGGGAAACTCTTAAAAATGATATTTTATTTCTTATTTTTATATTCTGTATTTTCATCTGTGTTACAATGAAAAAAAAGAAACTATTTGGACAATGTTATGGAAATGCAACATAAAGACATGTGTGATGTCATGTGACATCACAGTCTAGACCTTCCAAATGTCTCATGGGATTTGCTTTCCATATGCAAAAAAATCTGATCATGTGACCAACTTCATGTCATCGAAAACTGAATGCCAATTTTGTTAGTATTGTCATATAAGGAAAGACATTGGCAAATATAAATATTTTAAGAAAGTCAAAACAAATACAAAGTTGTGTTGTATCAGAAAATAAAAGAACACTTCACTCAGCAGTGTGATTGTATTTGTGTATGATGAGTTTTGTGATTCTTACAGTGACTTCCTGATGATGTACTTACGAGACATGCTCCCTAAGAGGCCAGATCTTAAAGTGATCCTGATGAGTGCCACACTGAATGCAGAGTTGTTCTCGGAATACTTCAATGGCTGCCCTGTCATTGATATACCTGGTGAGTTTTTCAGTTGGAGCATCTTCATCATTTCTATGTATGGCTATCTAATAATATTGCCATACATATAATATACTATTACATGCTGAGTATATAATCAAGAGGATTTTCAAGCATGTTCAGGGTTAAGAAAGATGTTCTATGGAATGATAGCATAGAACTGATATGACAGATCTTTTTGTATAATACTAGTAAAGTATACTTAAAAATTGCTGTTTCATAATTTATATTGTGAGGTTTGATATCCTGAATTCCAGGGAAAGCCTTTCCTGTCCAGTCCTTCTTCCTAGAAGATGCTACAGAGCTAACAGGATTCGTGATGGAAGAAAGGTCTCCATATGCCCGCCCCCTGAAGCAGATGAATGCGGTAAGACAGGGCCAGTCATGGCAGACGTATGAGGAAGATCTTAACACAGATCCAGGAAAACCACCAGGGGAGAGGGTGAAGGATGAAAATCTCACAGTCAAACAGCTGATGTATAGGTACTCAGGTAGGGTTCTATATATATATATCTAAATCTCACTGTCAAACAGCTGATGTATAGGTTCCCGGTACTCAGATAGGGATCTATATATATATCTAAATCTCACAGTCAAACAGCTGATGTACAGGTACTCAGGTAGGATTCTATATATATCTAAATCTCACCGTCAAACAGCTGATGTATAGGTGATAGGGATCTATATATATACTGTATATATATCTAAATCTGACTGTCAAACAGCTGATGTACAGGTACTCAGGTAGGGTTCTATAAATATCTAAATCTGACTGTTAAACAGCTGATGTATAGGTACTCAGGTAGGGTTCTTTAAATATCTAAATCTCACTGTCAAACAGCTGATGTACAGATACTCAGGTAGGGTTCTATAAATATCTAAATCTGACTGTCAAACAGCTGATGTACAGGTACTCAGGTAGGGTTATATAAATATCTAAATCTCACTGTCAAACAGCTGATGTACAGATACTCAGGTAGGGTTCTGTATATATCTAAACCTCACAGTCAAACAGCTGATGTATAGGTACTCAGGTAGGGTTCTATAAATATCTAAACCTCACAGTCAAACAGCTGATGTATAGGTACTCAGGTAGGGTTCTATATACACTGTATATCTAAATCTCACTGTCAAACAGCTGATGTATAGGTACTCGGGTAGGGATTTATCAATGACACAATACTTTTGTGTGGTTGGCTTGGGCCAATCACAGTTGATTCCATATGATGAATTTGGCAGATGAAATCATTTGTGCACATGATTCAGTTGAGGATCTATATATAACCTAAGCAAAAAGGTGAAGATAACAAACAGTGATGGATTTCAAAAAGCCTACAAACAATATAAATCTGTGCATAAAAAAGAGGGCATAAAAAAATGGATCCCCAGAAATTCTAGAGGTGAGATCAGGTGCCTAGGAGGAGTAAGTATACCCTGTTGACTGGTCACACAGGCTGTGAGCCCTATGTAGATGGAATATTCCATAGTCAAATTTAGTATGAAAACCAAGGCCTTACAATTGGTAAGAAATATGTCAGCTGATTTTAAACATGAAATTTGTTGAATTTGACATTTTTCTTCCACATTGTTATAATTGTCTCTCTTCCTCACCTTTATAACTGTGACATAATTTTGAATAATATACAGACAATCTTTGAGTTGTTGAGTTTTGTTTGTTGTTGATTTTGTTAAATAGAACAAAATCATCATCACAGAAATAATAATGTTCAGAAAAACAATGATACAGTATATACTTACATATATACAGTAAAGGACGTGAAAATGTATTGCATTAATTACTAACTTTACAACTTTCTTTAAGAGTATAAAAAGTCAACATGTAAAGCTCTTTCAATGATGGACCTAGACAAGATTAACTATGACCTGATTGTTGATCTTCTGGAGTGGATTGTAGATGGAGATCATCAGGTCAGAATACTCACTGTCAATATATGCCTGATACCTTATCATTTCATGTCAGAAAATGAAGCCACCTTTTGTAATCAATCTATACAATACTGACCATGGAATAATTTAGAATTTTGTTTTGACTGACTTTTCAGTATTCAAAAGGAGCAGTTCTGGTGTTTCTGCCAGGATTTGCTGAGATACAACAGCTGTATGAGGCACTGACATCTCACCGAGTGTTTGGTATCAGAAGTGGGGGCAGGTTAGTAACGAAAAAATCATAAAATGAATAGAACAATGAACAAAGTATCAACATAAATTTTGTTACTAAATCACTGGAGCAGTAAAAGAAATGAATGTTTTTCTGTTGATTTATTTTTTCTTTTTTTTCTGAACATTGTTTCATCTAGGTTCAAAATCATCCCTTTGCATTCTACATTGTCAAGTGAGGACCAGCATGCAGTTTTTCTGTGAGTATATAATTACTGTTTGCTGAAAAGGTCTTTAGATGAAAGTTACTATAATAAAGTCTTCCTCTAATTCTTCTTTGTATATTTTTTATAATTTAAAATTTAAAATTTCAGGAAACCTCCTGAAGGTGTTACAAAAATTGTCATAGCAACCAACATAGCAGAGACGTCCATCACAATAGACGACATCACATTTGTCATTGATGCTGGCAAAATGAAAGAGAAAAGGTCTTATTTTTGTAATATCAATATGATGCATCAATTATTTATTTTTTACATTAAAAAGTACCTTACAATAGCTTTGAAGAATTCTGAATTTTAAACTAACGGGAGAGGAGAAAAATGCAGCGGACCAGACCGGGATTCGAACCCGGGCCCCCTGAATCTCCAGTCAGGTACTCTACCAACTGAGCTATCTGGCCCCCGGCGATTGAACCCGTCTGACCGCCACAAAACGAAATAACCAAGGATCAAATTCTAACAGTTTAATGACATCAACTTCTGACTGTTTTATTGTATATTGTATTAAGATCCTTTTTAGGACATTTACATGTACCGGTACTTGCATGATAAAAAATCCACCAAGAATTTCCAGAAAGCCTATAATTTTCATCTAATTTTCAGGTATGACTTCAGCAAAGGAATGGAGAGTCTAGACACAGTGTGGGTCTCCCGAGCTAATGCTCTCCAGAGGAGGGGCAGGGCTGGGAGGGTCACATCAGGTGTCTGCTTCCATCTTTTTACCAGTCATCGCTTTGACTATGACCTCCAAGATCAGCCAATACCTGGTCAGTTTCTCTATCCTGAAATTAAACCATGATTTTGACAATTTTGTTTCATATATTATGCATATACAATCATGTATATGTATTCAGACATCACAGCTGTTGAAAGATATGTATTTCCTGAAAATGAGATTATTTATTTTGACAGAGATTCAAAGAGCACCTCTGGAGCAAATCTGTTTAAGGATTAAAATGCTTGACATTTTTAAGACAGTAAATGTTCAGGTACTGTGGTGTTCTAATGATATCAACATGTGTATATTACTGAAAAATGTCAAATAAACAGTAAATGAAGTGAAAAATAATCACCAGATCAAAATTTTTGTGATGTTTTTAGGAGGTATTGGAGCAACTGCCAGAACCGCCCTCTGAAGAATCTATCATGGCAGCCCTGAAACGCTTACAGGATCTAGGCGCTCTGGATGAAGACAATGTAAGAGATGTTTATATTTACATACAGTACATGTGTTGACAAGTATATCATTTACATGTATGCATAGTTTTTAATTGAAACAATTCTCAATTTAAAATGACTTTTGAAAAAAAATTATTTTATAGGAGTTAACCCCCCTTGGTTATCATTTGGGATCATTACCTGTTGATGTCAGGTGAGTTTCTAGAATTTTGCTTCCCATAACTGAAAACAATGTTGATGTTTGTGAACATAATTTAAAGTTGATGAATGGATTTTACAGAATTGGGAAGTTGATGCTGTTTGGAGCAATATTCAGATGCCTTGACCCAGCATTAACCATTGCTGCAACTCTAAGTTACAAGTCACCATTTGTATGTGTAGTTTATTTAACATACATGCATTTTTGTAATTTTTTTTTTCAAAATGAGAATTAACAATTTTTTTATTAGTATTATGTAATTTACTACATTTATTGAGTTCTTTTCACAGGTTTCTCCATTTGACAAGAGAGATGAAGCAGACAAGAAGAAATTAGAATTTGCTGTGGGGAATTCTGATCATCTTACAATGCTCAATGCATATAAGGTATTTATCATCTTAGATGGAAGTTGGATTGAGGAATATTGATGGTGCTCTTTGCATTGTTGTATGTATTGGTAATACTCACTACTGGACGAAAAAAGTGCTGAGAATCCCAAATTTTACTGATAATGTTTGATAATTACTGATACCGTGCTGTTCTTGCTGATAAATACTGATATTTACTGTTATTATTACTGTCGTTGCTGATAATTTTAGTTGTTTCTGATAAATACTGATAATTACTGTCGTCTTTACTGTGGAGTCTGATAAATACTGATAAATACTGTTGGTGTGCTGTCGATGCTGAGATTTACTGATAATTACTGTGGTCAAAAAAAAAAAAAAAAAAAAAAAAATAAAACAAGTTTTTATTTTTAAAGGTAAAAAAAAATCCCATCTCATATTTTTTCCACGTGTATTTGTATTGTCATCAAAAGCTTTTAGAGGGCATCTTTAATATAGTCAATGGTTGTTATTGTCAATTTATTTTTTCATGTGGAGAACTGAACATGTATGAGCTTTATAAGTTGAGAACCCCCCCCCCCCCCTCTATTTACATACAACTCTCATTTTAAGAAGACACTTTAGGCAGTATTAAATACATCTCACAAAAAATCTATTCTGGTTTTATGTTGTGTACACTATGTCCTTTTATTGAAGAATGTGACAGGTTTAAATAAAACATCTTTATTTTGTAGAATAATCTCTTTTATATACACATAGCCAGTGCGCTCTAGTTCTCTGATTATGTCCTCGATGCGAATTTGATATTGATCATTGTGTGGTATCGACGCTTTCTATCTTTCGTTTTTTTTTTATTTTAATTGTTAAGCCATCAGTACACTATAAATCTTTTGCAGTGTGATTTTCAATCAATGAAATACACGTCTTTCTTTAATTCTTTGTTAATAGTACATACATCTGCGTTAGGTCTACGGACATACGCCATGCAGTATCAAGGAGATCAATAAATAACTGCTTATACATGTTAGACGCGGTCAGTCAGTTAAAAAAAAACAAAATAAAAAAAAAACTTGCAGTTTCTTTCGTCCATTAATGCCGTCTCGCTAAATTGCTGTTCTGGAACACACATGTCAACCACGTGTAAAAGTTCTACTTTCGTTTTGAGAATCGGGTCAATTATTAGTACATTCTGTGTATCGTGCGACATGAATTTTGTAAAATTAGAAAGAGTTTTGTACAGAGATTATAATGTTTTTATTCCATTTTCTCCTTGTCGGAGACCTTTGTATAAACGTACAGTACAGGCTGGGCGCTTACCGACTTAATTATGCTTTATTGTAGCACAAAAAGGGGGGTGGCGGGCATAGGCACTCCCCTGCTTAATTGTTAAAAAATATATATCTACTATACTATAAACATAACAAGGCATGAAACTAGCCTCCATGTTGGATTCCGCTTGGGGGCACTTTCTGACTAATAGCGAGAATTTCTCGCCAAAGTCGGACTTTTCTCAGACATCGGAAGCTGTCATTTATTGAAATAAAATCAAATCAGGTTGAATCTTGCCATACGTTCGCCGCATTCACGCGTTTTCTAACATTTCTGTGCAAACCAGGTCTCCTCGGCCGGAACTTGAAGGTGTATGGGGGTATAGATAATTCGATCGTCGTTTACCTTCAAAGTGTGTTTCATAGAAAGCTAACGTTGTTTTTCTTAACGAACAAATGCACAGTGAAATAAATATAATTTTATATCAGTAGGACCTTGCAAGATTTTATATACATTATCAGGCCCATAAAAAGCTGTTTCAGTTTGTGTGTACATGTATGTGTGTGTTGGGGGGGGGGGGGGTCAACTGAACAACAATATTCTTTGACAAGAAAAAATATTTTTGAAGGAGGACAATCCTAAGTTAGATTTATTTTCTATTGCGTAGTATTAGTATAGTCATATATTGGCAAAATTATAGGGGCGAAAGGAGGGGACACGTCTAAGCAGGTGAGTCTTCAATACAGAGGTGGATTTGACCGGGGGGGGGGGGGGGGGGGGGGGGGATAAATGTATAATAGTTAATAAAAAATATTATATAATAAAATAAAGCAGATATTAGCAGAAGTAAGTTCTGCATGAAAAATGTGAGATGTATTGGAAGAAAAGGAACTATACACGGGGAAATGACTGGGCTCTTTTTTTCTTTTTTTTTTCTTTTTTTTTCTTTTTTGAAAAAATTCAATGATGGTACAGAGACACCAAAACAGAATCATACAATTTAGAGGACGACAATTTGATTCTAAAGGAGGGAGGGGGATGGCATTTTTTTCTAGTCAAAATGTTTATTTTCATGTCATTGACTGAGGACAGATTATTTATTTCCAAGATGATTAGGGAAAGTTTTTTTTTTATTTCTACTACACCATAAAAAGTGGGTAGGATAAAATAAAGAAAAAATGAGAAAATTAGAGTGTGTGCGGGGAGCAGGGGTTCGGGGGTTACCACTCAAAATCAAAAAAGTTATTTTCAAGGACAGATTTTTTTCTCTCCAAAATCTGCCGCATCTATCAGAATCAAATAGTTGTCCCTTCAGAATTACGCATCACGAATTGAATCCTTTACTGTTGTTGTCATGTACAAATTCACACTTTGTAATCATGCACATGAAGAAATTAATAGTTTATCACTTTGTGTATATGTTTGTGTTTATATGTGGCTGTCGCTGTGAAATCAGCGCGGGGCGGGGCTCAGGAACTTCATTGTAATGACATATACATAGTAAATTAGTCTATTAAATGACTCCTAATCTAGCTGCCTTTGCATTTGTTAACTGGGCTGGAGCTGGGTTTTGGTCAAAACTAATGCCATACGTGCTATCATTCTCAGTGGAACACTGTAATAAAATCCACAAAGAGTGAGCTGATGAAGTTAGTTTCAGCTTTGTAAATATTAATGGTGATGTGAACATGCCAAAATATATGTTTAGAAATAATTACCCTTACAAAATATTCAAAACATCCAAATCACTTATATAATATTTTGGTGAATTTTTTGAACTTGTTATTAAACTTTAGAACTGTCCCATTTTATTATTGTATATCTGTATGAATCCATCTATAAGAAATAAGTCTCGCTATCAGGATAAAATATATACATGTACTTGTATATTTATTATTTTGCAATAAATGTAATACTTAATACTTTACATGTATGTAAGTAACACACACTTTCCATAGACGAATCAGGGATTTCAAGGGGGGGGGGGGGTAGTAAAAAAAATTAAGTGACAATAGAAACTCATAATACTTGTTATTAAATTAAGTGTTAAAGCATAAGTTTTATCAAAACTTTCTTTTATATTGAATATTTTCCCCCTTTTCCTTTTTTGAAAGGGGTGACCCCTCCCCCCCCCCCCCAGATAATATGCCACTGTCTTCAAGACTGCTTATATATATATATATATATATATATATATATATATATATATATATATATATATATATATATATATAACCCATTGACACTGCTGACTTGCTGACTTATAGACTAACCGGTTGCCAATATATTTTTCATAAGTTCAAGTATCTGCTAGACTTCTTTTTACCAATAGAAGTAATAAAAATGCAAAGAAAAATCGTATGTCTTATTGTTATACAAATACGTGTACATATATTTCACAATACATTTTGTTCATTTTTGAAAATCAAAGGTTAGTTTTCCATGAAATGTTGTTCTCGTACATTGAAGGTAAACGACGATCGAATTATCTATACCCCCATAAACCTTCAAGTTCCGGCCGAGGAGACCTGGTTTGCACAGAAATGTTAGAAAACGCGTGAATGCGGCGAACGTATGGCAAGATTCAACCTGATTTGATTTTATTTCAATAAATGACAGCTTCCGATGTCTGAGAAAAGTCCGACTTTGGCGAGAAATTCTCGCTATTAGTCAGAAAGTGCCCCTAAGCGGAATCCAACATGGAGGCTAGTTTCATGCCTTGTTATGTTTATAGTATAGTAGATATATATTTTTTAACAATTAAGCAGGGGAGTGCCTATGGTGGCGGGGTGTGAAATACTATTAACTTAAAACTGATACGCGCAAGGTTGATTCTTTAGTTTTATGTTTAATAAGTCATACATGTTATAATTACTTATTACATACTTTTTATATACATGAATAAAATTATTTTAGAGAATCAATGAACGATACCAAATTCAGAACTATAACATTTATTCATGAGTGCGATAAACAACGTCATGTTACTGTTACTGTCATTCAAAATTCATAAAAGATTTTTTTTCACGGATTCTGAGAGATGTGGAGTTTAATTCCCTGTTTCTGAATAGTGAACAGTTAATGCTAATATAATTTCAATAATTGCTTTCACTAAACCATCTTTTTTTTTTAAATTCATATGTACATTTTGCATAATGTTTTAATTATAAGATCAAGTCAAATCAATTTCTCCTCTCCGTTTCACGGGCCCCGAACCATCGTTACATTGTAACCGAGATTCGGAACTGAAAATACATGTAGCCCCTCCCCGGGATTTTCTTTTAAATTTATCTCAAGCATGTCAAGAAATGTGCATAAAACTAACAAATAAAATTAAATACTGAGCAAAGATAGATTTATGTGAATTAAAATAATTATTGAATATTAAGTCTGTATAAGGTATATAACTTCATTTCTTTTCTTTTTTTATCTTAGTAATGCAATGTCCTATTTTGCTTAATAGTTTTTTTTTTCAATTTTCAATTTTATTCGTCAACAAATTGAATATTACAGGATAAATTTTTTTTCCGTGCGACCGTAAAGATTTTCCTGCTCAAAGAAGAAAGTACATGTACAGTGTAGGTGGTGGCCGCAAACGAGGAACAATAGGTAATTAGTGCCCATTGTTAAGCTGGCCACTACAATTTACATGGAATATACAAGTTGTACCCCGTTCTACCCCGGGGCGGAGGACGTACACAATACAGCCAAATCAGAGACTGATCTTCGATTTTTGATCAATGAAGATCAATTTATTCCATGCAATTTTTGACCACACAAGATTAAAATCGATCCATTTTATCATATACCTGTACTTTATTAAGTAAACATATTGTATTAGGTCTCATTTCTTATTTCACATTCCATAAAATTAAATTAATGAGATTTTAAACCTATTGAATAAAAATGTTTCGTGTCATGAAATTTTAAGAGACCAACATCAAAATAATATAAACACATGTGTACCTTCGCTCTGACACTGGGGATTCTGACCATACACTAATTTTTAATCAGCCCCCAATCTGCCGGTTACACATGTATGTATCGTGTACATGTAGATGTAGAAGAGATATTCTGGAAGAATCTAAAATGCCTATATTACCTTCAAATAAATGAATGAATAAATCAATAAATAAAAAAATAAATAAATAAATAAACAAATAAATAAATAATCTGTGTCTCCAGATTGAACATATTCACCTCTGTTTTCATCTCTTTATTCAATTTTAAAATTCATAAAATTTCTAATTTTCGAGCAAATTTTCAAATATCTTGACAGAGATCAGAAAACGGAACATTTAAAAATGAAAAAAAATACATGTCTGAGAAAGAAAAAACAAAAATAGCTATATGAAAGGTCATCTTTAAAAAGAAAATGTCGTCCTCTCTTGACCAGTTGACGGAGTGAAACCGTGCGAATCAAACTTTTCTAACCTGCTTGAAATATTTTTTATCCTGAATTTTTTTCCACCCATTAAGAACTATTTCTTATTATTGAAAAAAAAACATCACCGACCTCCCTACCCAAATATCTTGGAGTCGGGAGAGGGCGGCGATGAATCTTTTTAAAAGATAGCCTTATTTTCTTTTTATTTAAAGTACATTGATAAAATTCCATTTATCTTGCTTACAGATAAATTATACTATTTTCATAGATTGGTAGAAAACATTTGCTTAATAAACGCGGAAGGTTTCATTTATTTATTGTCAACATTTTCACAACCGTATTGTAGTAAATGAGATCAGCGTAATTTTTGTCACTAGCATTTAAAGAAATATGAAAATGTCGTAATGATAATTTATAATTAAAAGAAAGAAATAATTGAAAGTTTTTACAGCCCTCAGTTCTCCTTTAGCCATTCCCAGCTTAAGAACAAAGACCACAGTAATTATCAGTAAATCTCAGCATCGACAGCACATCAACAGTATTTATCAGTATTTATCAGACTCCACAGTAAAGACGACAGTAATTATCAGTATTTATCAGAAACAACTAAAATTATCAGCAACGACAGTAATAATAACAGTAAATATCAGTATTTATCAGCAAGAACAGCATCGTATCAGTAATTATCAAACATTATCAGTAAAATTTGGGATTCTCAGCACATTTTGCGTCCAGTAGTGACTGTTTTATCCATTGTGAGGAGTGCTCCAGTTAGTGTAGCCCTTCTTGAAAGCTTATTTTGCAGACTAGCTACATTTGAACATGAATGATTGGCTCTCATGTAATCTCTTATGATTTTGTACAGGGATGGATCGAGTCAAGACTGAAGTCCCATAATGAGGGTTACAGATTCTGTCATGAAAATTTCCTGTCGTACAAGTCCCTCCAGGTGAGAATTTCAAGTTCAAAATGTTACATAAACATTATTTACTATTATAAAGCTGAAATTTTACAAATAATATCTCAAAAGAAGTAAATGGATGGTTTTTGACAGTGAGATTTTACTTGTATTTAATTACCGGTAATGGATTTTTTAAACAGATGTTGGCCAGTATGAAGCAGCAGTTTGTGGAGCTGCTGTCAGACATTGGGTTTGTGAAAGAGGGAATCGTGGTCAGAGATGTGGAAAGAGCAGCCAGGGGTGGATCTGATGGAGTGGTGGATGTCACAGGAATTGAGGTGAGCAGTTAAATTATCCTCAGTAATTTACAGTCTGGTGACAGTGTGTGTGGTACAATTTTTAAACTTACATGTGCATTATTTTCCCTACAGGCCAATATAAATTCAGCAAACTGGAAGCTGGTTTCTGCCATCTTGGTTGGGGCATTGTATCCAAATGTTGTGCAGGTGATGAAACCATCCAACAAATTTAGCCAGGGTAGCACAGGTAAAATTGCAGTAAAGAGGATATTATGTCAAAAGACGGGATGTTCTTGGTATGCTAAATGAACTTATACATGTACATCTAGATCATTTTTTTTTATATTCAGGTGCACTTTACAAAGCTCCAAAACCTGATGAACTGAAGTTTCGAACCAAATCTGATGGTTTTGTATGTATAGTTATTATCAGTCATTTCTTGCCAAGACTTTCACTAACTGCAATATGAATATACAGGGACAGTAATATTCCACGCATGTGTAAGCCCCTTAATGTACATGTACAATTAAACTTTGGTATCTGGAATACCAATATCTCAAATAGCATGGATGTGTTGAAGCGAGTGTGAAGTTCCAACTACTTTTTCTATATGTACATGTATTTTAACCTCAATTTGTCAAATCTTCGAATATTTTTCTTTTTTTTCAGTCCCATTGAGGATGAGATAATGAGGTTTGACTATATGTGTAAATAATAATTAAGTCATGCATGTTGCACATTTCAGGTCCACATCCATCCTTCTTCTGTGAACTTTCAAGTGAACCATTATGAGAGTCCCTATCTTGTTTACCATGAAAAAGTGAAGACCACAAAGGTATACTATAACTCAGGGTTAAGAGAATCTCTTGTACTGAATGTTCTATGACTGTATCCTGTTACTGTATATGGGAAATTTTTGCCTCTTTCGTATTCATGGCAAGAGGTTAAATTTCAAACAGGGAAAATTCAAAGATGACAAAGTTATGTGTCTGGGCGAATTTAAAATGAGGCAAAAATGTTTGAAAGTGGGCAAAAAATAGCCCTGTAGCAGATTGTATACTGTAAAACCTTTGATATTAATACATATTGCTTATTGATCAGGTATACATCCGAGACTGTACCATGGTCAGTATGTACCCCCTACTGCTGTTTGGGGGAGGAAGCATCTCTGTGGATTTAGAGAAGGGAAATTTTGTCCTTTCTATAGATGATGGCTGGATAAGATTTCTTGCAGATTCTCCAAAGGTACAATTTACATGTCTACTGTCACAGCCTAAGTTATCAAAAACTGTTCTTTTTAATTCAAAAAAAAATTCTTAATGTGAAATTTGCAGCAGAAAATAAGGCGACTTTTGATAGTTCAATTTTCAATCCCTCAAAGTAAGGACCTGGTCTTCATGTTTACCTTTCAAAAATCTTTACCTTTCAAAAATCAAATTCCCTCTCAATATTTCAACCTTTGATAGCTCAAGTCTATAGGTAATGATCATCCACTCAAGTCATTTCAATTTATCTGGCATTAAATATATCTGAATATGGCATGCCACATTACTTCAATGCATTATTATATTATTCTGTGACATAAAAAGGCACTTGGGAATCCCATATTCCTTTCTGTAAACATGATGTTCTCTGTATACTTACAGGTGGCTGAGCTGGTGCGTGAGTTAAGACTAGAACTTGATCAACTTCTTACTGATAAAATACAGAACCCACATATGGATCTGTGTAACTGTCCCAAGGGAAGCAAAATTATTGACACCATAGTGAAACTTATAAGTACACAGTAGTGCTGAATACACATATGGACCTGTGTGACTGTCCCAAGGGAAGCAAAATTATTGACACCATAGTGAAACTTTTAAGTACACAGTAGTGCTCTGCAGAATTTCAACCAGTGCTCAAGCATTGTATAAACCTGCAGAGACCATGATTCACCATCATTTACACACCTATGCAATTTATCCGGTAATAGTGCTACTAGATCCCCTTCCAGAAGACACCACACTCTGATGTGAAGAAACACAAGTGTACAAGTATTTGAGATAACAGTCCAATCTTTACATGCTATTGTATAAACAAGTACTCAAAGGTGCCAAATTTGTAATGTAAATGCAGTGCTTATATAAATCTAACTAAACATGAGAATAGAGAATAGACCAAAAAAAAAAAAATTTCAACTTATGATGTAATACTTGACATTGTTAACAGTATTTATAAATGAAGTCTTTCAGATTTTGATTTATTTTATTTATATTCCCATGAAATACTTAGTGCAATAAATTGTGAGGAACAAAAATTCTCTGTTTTCATTAATAATATGCATACAGGTAATACTGTAAATTATAAACCCAACATACAGTAGTCATGAAATTTTAAAACTGAATTGTATCAATGTATTGCACATCCCTTGCAAACAATTACACCTTGAAATGTGGTACATGTTAAAAGTACATGTATCCTCAATAATATTTCAACAGTAGAACAGTTTTCAATGTCAAACAATTAACAGTCCATCTCAAGCAGAGTCTGATTTGAAATAAGTATTTCCCCATAAAATTCAGATCGGGGGAATAAACGTACATGTACACCAGATATTGAAGCAGGCTTAATATTTGAAAGAAAAGAAAAACTGATACTTGTATATTGAATTTAACATAAATTACTTAAGAAATAGCAGTTTAATGAAAAATTGTATAATTGAACCACATTCATAAATTCAGAAAAAAATGAAATAACACTGGTTTCATAAATTCAAAATTTAAAAAAATATCATCATTTTTATTACTTAATCCCAAAATAGCATTCATTTTTCTGTTCAGTGTCAAAAATCAGACTGGGCATCCATTTATGCAACACAATTTATATAGTATAGGATTTCATCAGCTTTTTCTTACAGATTTTGCATAAAATTAAATATTGGACACTTCTTGGCAGGAATATGTACACCTAAAATATTACCTCCTTTCTTCTCACATAATTGTAAAACTTAGTTTGTATCACAGTTTGTTCCAAAGAACTGATCAATCTAGAGCAGTTTTCTTAGCCCCTAGTTTCAGCGCCCCTCCACCCTTCCTGGCTGCACGCCTCTCCTCTATTTCTCTCTGTCTCTGTAATCTCTTTTCTTCCCTTTCCTCCTTTTTCCTCCTTGCTTCATCAATTTTGTTGGTACCTGCTTAAAGATATGGAAAATAAGTTTATTAAGACTAGTTTAAGAACAAGTTTGACATAAAAATCACTTATGGTTGCAAAGGGTGTAAGACCCCTGTTCTTGGTGGTGACACTAAAAGAAGACTCGACAGAGAGTACAGGAAAAATTGGGTTTCATTTTTTGCATTCTGGAATTTGGTTATGTTATCTGTAATCCTTTATAAGAACAAAACAGAATTAACAGTTTTAATGTCTACTTTATTGAAATGTGTACTCATTGATAAATTAAAAAGTAAACAACTCACAAGGCAAGGCTCAGTATGCCTCATTTTGTTAATTAGCTTGACCTTACCTTACAACAAACTTGTTTAAAGTTTATATTTTCGAAACAATTCATGTTTGTTATTTACTCGAATGCATTAAAAAGGATTAAATACCGATATAGATATTGGTGTTATATTAAATGGTATTTTACAGGTAATTTTTAAACAACTACTTGGTACAGTATGGATACTGAGTACGTCCAACCCTATTATTAATACACTATATATAAAAAGAAGTTCTAAATCTTCACGAACAATTTGTTCATTCTGAAATTTTTGTACTGACACTTGATCACCTGACCTGAATACAAAACTATATGTCACTGTGGTTAACAGCTTGAAATATTTTTAAGTGGTTAAAAAAATCACAACATTTACATGTATTTAATATGATCTTAGTACATGTACTAAAAATATTCCAAGTTATCTTGAAATGATGTAAAGAATTTGCAGTTAAGATCTTAGATTGGTGCTCCTGTACCTGCTCCCCAGTCGTCGCCATCACCCCAGCCAGATTGGTCCCACCCTGAAGTGTCTTGAGGAGGACTAGGACTCTTCTGTTTGGCTGGTCGACTCTGGACTGTGGTTTTGTTTGTTGACCCTACAGGACCCCACTCATCTGTCCCCCACCCTGAGTCTTCCACGTCCCACCCAGACTCCACTTTTGAAGCCTTTTGTTGACTAGCTAAACCACTAGATGGCGCTGGACTGGATCTAGAACTGGATGGACTGGACTTAGGTTTTGTTTTTGCTGGTTTTTGCTGTTAAAGTAAGATGTAACTAGATTAGGATTAACACTCTTAATTATTCAGATTTACATCAAACACAAATAATTATTTCAAAGTTTGAGTTTACCAACAATCAGGCTTATTGCATGGATTTTTAACATGAGAGGATGTACTTGATGTTGAGGGGTTCTACATGTATGTGAATTTAAAAGTCTGAAGACTGCTCCCCTTCTTGGAGACTCTGATTCATCAAAATCAATTAAAATAGAAGCCAAAATTTTGCAGACAATCAAAGTACTTAAAATTACTTACTTTTGGGAGTCCCATAGCTGAAGAAAAGAAGTCTTCCTGGCCAGTTTCTGTTGTATTCCCCCAGTTGTATTCCCCAGCCATTGTTAGACCACTGTCCTCAGTACTCACAAATTCATTACCAAAGTCTCCTCCCCAGTCATCCACTTCTTTTTTAGAACCAAGCTTCATGGAATTGCCTGATGATTTTTCAGGACCAGCACTCTAAATATAAGAGAATAATTTTGAAAAAAATCAATCATAAGCACTCAAAAATCTTAACTAAACACACAATTATTATAAAGGCCTGTAAATCATTTCACAATAATTTTATAAATCAGCATTTGGCATTGCTATACCCTATGTGACTCCTTGTGTATCTGTATGTGTTTTGCCTTGTTTGTATGCCCTATGTGACTCCTTATTTATCTGTATGTGTTTGGCTTTGTTTGTATGCCCTATGTGACTCCTTATTTATCTGTATGTGATGGTCCTGTTTGTATGCCCTATGTGACTCCTTATTTATCTGTATGTGTTTCGTCTTGTTTGTGTGCCCTATGTGACTCCTTATTTATCTGTATGTGTTTTGCCTTGTTTGTATGCCCTATGTGACTCCTTATTTATCTATTTGTGTTTGGCCCTGTTTGTATACCCTATGTGACTCCTTATTTATCTGTATGTGTTTTGACTTGTTTGTATGCCCTATGTGACTCCTTATTAATCTGTATGTGTTTGGCCTTGTTTGTATGCCCTATGTGACTCCTTATTTATCTGTATGTGTTTGGCCTTGTTTGTATGCCCTATGTGACTCCTTATTTATCTGTATGTGTTTGGTATTGTTTGTATGCCCTATGTGACTCCTTATTTATCTGTATGTGTTTTGCCCTGTTTGTATGCCCTATGTGACTCCTTATTTATCTGTATGTGTTTGGTCCTGTTTGTATGCCTTATGTGACTCCTTATTTATCTGTATGTGATGGTCGTGTTTGTATGCCCTATGTCACTCCTTGTTTATCTGTATGTGTTTGGACATGAACTAGTTGGTTATGTGATTAAATCCTGTGAAGCCCAAAGCTTGTTTCACTGTGACATAAATATTTACACAAGATATCATCATGGAATGTGATTCAGTCACACTATGACCCCTGACCCCCTAGTAAGTTCAGAATTGAACATATTTACTCTTCAGTAAGTTCATCTAAGGAAAATATTTGCAAATGTAAATATGTGTATGTGATTAGCCTTGTTTGTATACCCTTCACTGTATATGACTATTTAACTGTATTTGTTTGGCCTTACCTTTGGGGCTGTATCCTCCAGACTACCCCAGTCCTCCTCATCATTGTCATCCCAGCCGTCAGTAGCCCGAGGCTCACTCGACTCCTCATCAATATCTGGAGTATCCTATCAAAAGGCAATTCATAAATTATTCACTAAATCAAAGAACACAAAAAAACTTTTAATTGAAATTATGGAGAAAAGACAAAACTTTGAAATTAAGTGAATAAGATTGCAGTTTTGTATTCTTGTCTCTTACATCAATTTCTCCCCAGCCTTCCTCGTCCCATCCTGTCTCCTCCTCGGTTTGACTTGGTTCTGGGGCTGATGGATTATCAGTCACTGGTTTTGGAGTAGGCTTTTTTGGAAGTTCACCAACATTTTTTGCTGGTCCTGGTGGTCCTAGATATTAACCAAGTAAAAAGAAAATCATGAATGGTTCACAGGAATTACACTGATATGGACACATATCGATAATTTATTATTTTGCTATATAAGTATGTATTATTATACACATAATTTTTCCTCCATAAAAAATGCACATGTATGTCATGAAATTTGTTATATTCTGTGTGACTTTATTTCCCCAAGACTATACCACAGTATTTTCAAGATAATTTTTTGCATTCACTACATAGTAATTCAAGTCACATTGTATGTATAACTGACAAATTGTAATTTACCGGTAATACAAAAGCACTATTTGTACAAGAACATCTTAAAGGTATAGCAATAACTGTCTGATGGATATCATACCAGTTGCTTTCTGTCTTGTGCCGTCCTTTTTGTACAGTTTGGATGTAAGGGAGGACACTCCTGTCACCGCCCACCCAGCCCAGCTGGCAGCACTGCTAGAGACTGAAGAACCTCCAGACAAAACATCCTTCTCTGGAAAAATATAGGCCTGATGATAAAAACTTTCTATCTGGAAGACACCGAACTTAGGTATACTCTTAACCTTTATATAAATTGTTTCACTTGATTCATGAAATTGTTTATTAAAAGAAATGTCTGACAATAAAGCATTTTAATGAATACCAGAATGAATGGAATTTACCCATCTCTGCTTCTAACTCGGGATTTTCAGAAACCTTTTCTAACTTTTCTACAAAGCACTTTATTCCCCTGAATGCCTGAAAGACAAATAAAACTGATAATATTTCCAATTCATACTCTTAGATACTTACTATATGCTTACACCTATACTGGTTGTGCTATTTATGCAAACTATTCAAGTATTATTCCAACTTCACATGTAAAAAGAGGATAATCAATTTTGAATTTTTCGACATACACTTAACACTGTATATGTACATCTGTGCACGAGCACCAAGCAAGGTGCCTGTTATCCACAGATGACTGAGAAAGAAGGATTGTATTTTTTATGTACTGTACACTTATATGTAAACGATGACAAAACATGTAAGCACTGATTAATACCTGATCTCTAACCCCTTTCTCTGGGTCTCTGGTCATGGAACACATAGCTGGTAATAACCTCTGAGCTATTTCATTCAATGTGAAAAAGTTCTGGGTGGACACCATGCCTAGTATCCCTGCCTGTCTGGCGGGGGGAAAGGGATCCTTCAGGGCCCTCAGAAAGGCAGAGGATATCATCTTCTGTCTCACCTAGATTCAAAATCAACATTAATTTGAATACATATTTTATAATAGCTTTTTGTGCATGAGTACACATGTTTATCTGTAACACACAGCTTCCTTCTCTGATGAACATTCTTCACTCTATGATACAGTTAACTGACTACTGAAGCTCAACAAAAGATTTCACCTTGCTCTGAACAAATCATAGATTACACTGTAACTTACTTGTGGATTCAGATGACAGGCTATCTTCCCTAGACATACTGTGGTGTTTGTTCTTATTCCACCCTGCAATAATCATGTCATTTATAAGTCTAAAAACGACAAATACATACAATACTGGTAAATCAATATGTTATAATAAAGAATGTGCCAAACATCCAAGTGGAACTCATTCGGGATTGTTTTTAATGATTATGATCTATGTGTACAAGTATATTACTATCAGGAAAAAAAGAGCAGACTTTGCCTACCTGATCATCTTTGGCCTGCAGTCTGGCAAAGTGTTTCATTACCTCCTCGTTTAAATTCTTGTAGTTCAATTTGGGGGCAATAAAAACTATAGCCTACAAAAATAATGTGGGATTTACATGCACATTTTTTAAGAGCTCATAAACATACTCAAAAGTAAATATATTTTTAATACATGTTCGTGCAAAAATTAATAGTTACAAAAGTAATGTAAAAAAAAAAAAATACTTCAAATATAGTGCAAGTTAAAAGTGGCTATGTGTTGTACACGTATACCGGTATACATGTAGTGGAGCCACGCTCCTACTAGCACTCGCTAGTAGGTGAACGTTGGATTTTAAATCTGAGGGCTGTATGTTCAAGCCACAGTGTGGACACCCCCTATTCGATCGGTCATAATACTTATTGTCTATGCATAAAAAATTTCAAGTTAATATTTTGAATGACAAAACAATAGATCACATGTTCAAACATCACATACCATAATTGGCCGAATATAATACGCATTGGTGTAAAATACGCACCCCCTTTTTGAGCCTGAAACTGGAGGAAAAAACGCAGTTCGGTTGTATTATACGCAGCAGAAAATTTTACCAAGCGGTGTTCTGAACTTTTGAAAATCGCGGTAATTTGCTATAAAAATCGGCGCGGAGATAAAGTGCAGAAAATTTACAGAACACGATATTTTATTCAAATGCGTTTTTATTTCTTAATCTTGACTTTCAATATAGCGGCAATCTGGAGGAAATTATTTATTTTAACAAAGCACGAGATAATGTAGCATTAAAGTATTAATAGAGTTTATTATTAATTTTTTTTAGCATACGGTGATATTGAAATTACACTTCGCCGTATTCTTACTATTCTTTGTGGAAATAATTTTATTTCAACAAATCACGAGATATTGTTGCAAGTTTAACAGTTGTCATATTTATTTTTAGTTTAAGGTAATCATGTTGAAAATTATGTATATTTAACAGGGCAAGCGATATTGCAACATCAAGGTATTCATAGACTACGATTTTCCTCTTTTGAACTTGAAATTAATTAATTAAATAAATAGCTGATGTTATAAAAATAAAATCAAAATTTAACAAGCGTGTAAAGTGTAGTTATCAACACACCTCCAAAGCTGTGTAAAATGATGTACAAAGGTGGGATATATGTCTTCATACATCGAGGTAATCCCTAAAAGGGATATCTTATTTTCTACAGAGCACGAGTAAATGATAACACTTAAGTTTCAACATACTTCATATTTCCTTTTTTAACTCTCAATTATTTTAACACGAGGCCGATAAAAGATAAAGTAAAATTAAATTTAACAAGCGTTTAACTGTTTAATGTGTCGTAATCAACACACGCTTTTATACATACGAAAGATCATAAACCAACCCCCGATTTTTAACAAAGAAAATGATCAAAGCCAATAATATGGGCAGTAAATAATCAGTGCTCTAACTGTAAAAACAATGCTTTGGAGTCGGTAAACAATTTAATTGCCTGGAGGGGTGTTGAGGGGTAATTATCAAGTGTCAAGCGCATGTGTTCACAACATTGGCTTCCATTCATTGGGACATATAGAGGGGTGTTTATGTTGAAATGAATTTTCACTGAGTTATTTAAAACCTAAAATAAAATTTATTTTCATTGTATTTCATTAAAAAAATGACTTATTACTTTTTTGACAGAGTGTCTGACTGATTAGGTACATGTGTACTATGATTAAAGCACGTGGCAAAGGAATGTGTGAACATCTATAAATAACATCGCTAATGGCGGCCTACAAGGAGACGATGAACATGCAGCTCAAATTAATTTTAACTTGCTTTTAAATTTAATTTAACTATCAAAAGGTTATAAATATAACATTTTTAACAAGCCTACATTCCAACAATAACTTTCCGAAGTTTTAAAAATGACGATAAACAGTAAGAAATTGCCTAAGTCTCTAGGTAATACTACGGTATGTGCGTATGATAGCTGTGTTTCACATGAAAGAACAAGAGGCCCAAGGGCCTTAACGGTCACCTGAGTACAATACAACAATTTAGAGGATCCATAAACTGAAAAATGAAGCTTTGTTGCCCAAAAGCAAGAACAATAGTATGATTAGCATCAACAAAATAATTGGTCTAGTATCTATCTGCCTATCTGACTTTCCAAGTCATTAAATCTATGAAAGTACATTTTCATTATACAATAAATTATCTTGCATAATTCTCTTATTCTATTAAGCTTTCAAATACATTATTTACATTGATTAATTATCAAAGGTGAATGGCAAAGGGGAATAACTTTGCTCAGCAGAATACAAGTTAATAGAGCCCTGGCCAGGACTAGAACACTTGACTAAATGGTCCAGGTGTTCAAAACTCTGGTAAAAATACCCTTGCATATTAAAACTTTTACTCTGTTTGCCTTGAACATCCCCAGAAGCATAGATGATTTTCAAAGAAATGCATTTTCACCATAAAATTAAATAAATAAAGCCCCATCCTTACCCAGAACATCTGACCCATTGGCCACGAACTCACAATTCTGGAAGAAGCACCCTTTCTCATTATAACTATACACTTGTTTCTTTACTTTATAACCAGTAGTAGAAAAAATATTTTGAAAGAAAATATGCATTTTCACTATATATAATCAATAGAGCTCTTTCCCCCTCACCAGAACCCCTGACCCAAAGGCCATGAGGCATTCTTCCTTATCATAACCATGAACTTCCTTTGTTTGAAAAATACCCAGGCGCACACAAGATTTTGAAAGAATTCTTGCCAATTCCCTATCTAATCAATAAAGCCCCGCCCTAACACCAGAACCCCTTACCCAGAGGCCATTAAATTCATAATTTCTGAGGCAGCCATGCTCATCATAACTATGTACTTAGTTTATTTAATATCCAGGAGCAGAGAAGATTTTCAAAGAATTAATGCAATTTTACTATATAATCAATGGAGCCCATCCCTAACACCAGAACCCCTGACCCAAGGGCCATGAAACAATTTCTGAAAAGGCAGTCATGCTCACCATAACTATGTTCTTAGTTAGTTTATTTAATACCCAGGAGCAGAGAAAAAGATTTTCAAAGAATTAATGCAATTCTACTATATAATCAATAGAGCCCTGCCCTAACACCAGAACCCCTGACCCAAGGGCCATGAAATTCAAAATTTTGGAAGAGGCACTCTTGCTCATCATAACTATGTACTAAGTTACTTTATTTAATGCCCAGGAGCAGAGAAGATTTTCAAAGAATTAATGCATTTTAACTATATAATCAATAGAGCCCCACCCTAACACCAGAACCTCTGACCCTGGGGCCATGAAATTCACAATTTTGAAAGAGGCACTCTTGTTCTTCATAACTATGTACTTAATACCCAGGAGCAGAGAAAATTATTGCAATTCTACTATATAATCAATAGAGCCCTGCCCTAACACCAGAACCCCTGATCCTGGGGCCATGAAATTCAAAATTTTGAAAGAGGCACTCTTCCTCATCATAACTATATACTAAGTTAGTTTATCTAATACCCAGGAGCAGAGAAGAAGATTTTCAAAGAATTAATGCCTTTTCACTATATAATCAATAGAGCCCCACCCTAACACCAGAATCCCTGACCCTGGGGCCATGAAATTCATAATTTCAGAAGAGGCACTCTTGCTCATCATAAATATGTACTAACTTAGTTCATTTAATATCCAGGAGCAGATAAGAAGATTTTCAAAGAATTAATGCATCTTCACTATATAATCAATAGAGCCCCGCCCTAACACCAGAACCCCTGACCCTGGGGCCATGAAATTCACAATTTTGGAAGAGGCACTCTTGCTCATCATAACTAAGTACTAAATTAGTTCATTTAATAACCAGGAGCAGATAAGAAGATTTTCAAAGAATTAATGCATTTTAACAATATAATCAATAGAGACCCGCCCTAACACCAGAACCTCTGACCCTGGGGCCATGAAATTCACAATTTTGGAAGAGGCACTCTTGCTCATCATAACTATGTACTAAATTAGTTCATTTAATACCCAGGAGCAGAGAAGAAGATTTTCAAAGAATTAATGCATTTTAACTAACGTATATAATCAATAAAGCCCTGCCCTAACACCAGAACCCCTGACCCTGGGGCCATGAAATTCACAATTTTGGAAGAGGCACTCTTGCTCATCATAAATATGTACTAAGTTACTTTATTTAATACCCAGGAGCAGAGAAGAAGATTTTCAAAGAATTAATACATTTTCACTATATACTCAATAGAGCCCTGCCCTAACACCAGAACCCCTGACCCAGGGGCCATGAAATTCACAATTTTGAAAGAGGCACTCTTGCTCATCATAACTATATACTAAGTAAATTTATTTAATACCCAGGAGCAGAGAAGAAGATTTTCAAAGAATTAATGCATTTTCTCTATATAATCAATAGAGCCCCGCCCTAACACCAGAACCCCTGATCCTGGGGCCATGAATTTCACAATTTTGAAAGAGGCACTCTTGTTCTTCATAACTATGTACTTAGTTACTTTATTTAATACCCAGGAGCAGAGAAGAAGATTTTCAAAGAAATAATGCACTTTCCCTATATGATCTATATAGCCCCACCCTAGCACCAGAACCCCTGACCCTGGGGCCATGAATTTCACAATTTTGGTAGAGGACTCAATGCTTATTACAATGATGCCAACAGTTTGACTGCTTGATGTCCAGGAGAAGAAGATTTTTAAAGATTGCATTATTTTTGGTGGTTTTAGCCCCACCCCTCAGGCCCCAGGGGGGCAGGGACCATGGAATTCACAATTTTTGTTCCCCTTCACCCATAGGTGCTATATGCCAAATTTGGTTGAAATTGGTTCAGCGGTTTCAGAGAAGAAGCTAAAAATGTTCAAATATTAACACACGACGCACACCGCACGACGCACGCCGACGGACGAGAACGGATAGCAATAGGTCACCTGAGTGACTCAGGTGACCTAAAAACCTATCAAAATCCCATAGTGGTGTAAAATACGAACCCCTTTCTCACAGAAAATTATTTTGGGAAAAAAGTGCGTATTATATTCACCCAAATACTGGTATTCTCACCTTAATTGTAGATTCCCTGACCACAGGGTTTGTGTCTGTAAAGCCATGGATAATGTGAGGAAAAATTTTGTCATTTACAGTCGCTGACTGGAGGTACTCGACAAAAGTGTCGATCTACAACATAAAAGCATTGTTTTAAAAAGGTAACACACGGTTAAAGAGTGGAGGTAAAAGGTAACACACTGTTAAAGAGTGGAGGAGGCCGATAAAAGGAAGAAAAGTAGACAGAGGTGAAAGTAATATAGATTTTTATAGGGTATCCTAACATGTAGCATTATTTGGATTCAATTACCTTTCCTAAATACTAGTATTCTGAACTTAGCAAAAAAAGTACAGGCAAAATCACATGAAGATTGAAAGTAAATATATACCTATCATAGACATTTAAACATTTCAGCATTACAATAAACTTTTGTCTCAAAAGGCACATTGTAAAGAAGTTCTTATTCTTTTCTTTCCAGACTTAATTGATATATTTTTGCAAGTTTATATTTCATGATTAGTAAGGCATTATCTCTTAGAGATACTTTGGATCCAAACAAATTTTTTTAAGATACCAATTTACCATATTTCATAATTATTATACATTATCACTGTAAGTGAGCTGAAATATTTTCAAAGGACATTCTGATGAAGAGATTAAAAGATTATGTAGTTCTCATCAACAGAACAAGAAAATTACAGTGTACATGTAACAAGAGGCCCAAGGTCCTTAACGGTCACCTGAGTATAATACAACAATTTAGAAGTTAAATACACTGACAGATGAAGCTTTGTTGCCCTAAAGCAAGAGAAGTAGGAAGATCAGGATCAACAAAATAATTAGTCTAGTATTCAGTATCAACTCATAACTTAAGTTCTAATCTGTCCCCCACTTAATATTATCACCATGCAGACTATTAACAAACTATTAGTCCTTCTGTACTATTTTTAAACCCATATTAAGACCTCTAGCATTGACCTCTCTTATGGTCTTTGAAGAACTTTTAATAAGATAAGTTATTTTTGTCTCGTTTTTATTTATCTATTACTTACAGGTCTACCTGATTATTAAAACTAAGAAAGTACTTTTTGAATTATACAATAAACATTCTTGCATAATTATCTTATTCTATTAACCTTTCAAAAACATTATTTACAGTGATTAATTATCAAAGATGAATGGAAAAGGGGAATAACTTCTCTCAGTAGAATACAAATTAATAGAGCCCTGCCCAGGACCAGAATGCTTAGACGAATTGTCCAGATGTTCAAAAATCTGGTAGAAATACGCTTACTTATATCATTTAAACTTTTACTCAGTTTGCTTTCGATATGCCCAAAAGCAGAGAAGAATTTCACAGGTACAATGCATTTTCACTACAGATTCAACAAAGCTTTACCCTAACACCAGAACCCAAAACCAAAGGTCAAGAAATTTACAAATTTGGAAGAGTCACCCTCATCATCATAACTATGGACTTCAAAGAATTAACACTTTCAACTATATTATCAAAAGCCCCCCCCCCCCTTCCTCGTTATGCCAGAACCCCTGACCCTAGGACCACAAGATTTAAAAATTCTGTTCGAAGCTCCCATCTTCATCATAGCTAAGCAATTTATTTATCAGCTCAACACTAGGGAGCATACAGGATTAGTTAATGATTAATTAATAGAATTAATGCATTTTCACTATATAATCAATAGAGCCCCCCTCCCCCCCCCCCCCCCCCCTCCTCAAGAACCCCAAAAACTGAGGCCATGTATTTAAAAATTTTGGAAGAGGCATCCTTGCCTATCATAATCATGCACTTAGTTTGTTTAAATAATCTCCAGTAGCAAAGAAGAAGATTTTCATAGAATCAATGCATTTTCACTATATAATCAATAGAGCCCCGCCCTAACACCGGAACCCCTGACCCTGGGGCCATGAAATTCACAATTTTTAAAAAGGCATCCTTATGCATCATAACCATGCACTTAGTTTGTTTAAATAATCTCCAGTAGCAGAGAAAAAGATTTTCAAAGAATCAATGCATTTTCACTATATAATCAATAGAGCCCCACCCTAACACCAGAACCCCTGACCCTGGGGCCATGAATTTCACAATTTTGAAAAGGCATCCTTATGCATCATAACCATGCACTTAGTTTGTTTAAATAATACCCAGGAGCAGAGAAGAAGATTTTCAAAGAATTAATGCATTTTCACCATATAATCAATAGAGCCCTGCCCTAACACCAGAACCCCTGACCCAGGGGCCATGGCTTTCACAATTCTGGAAGGGGCCCACCTCCTCATCATAACTATGTACTTAGTTTATCACCTTAATGCCCAGGAGCAGAGAAGAAGATTTTCAAAGAATTAATGCATTTTCACTATATAATAGATAGAGCCCCGCCCTAACACCAGAACCCCTGACCCTGGGGCCATGAATTTCACAATTTTGGAAGAGGCTCTCTTGCTCATCATAACTATGTATTTAGTTACTTAATTTAATACCCAGGAGCAGAGAAGATTTTCAAAGAATTAATGCATTTTCTTTAGATAGTTGATAAAGCCCCGCCCTAACACCAGAACCCCTGACCCTGGGGCCATGACATTCACAATTTTGGAAGAGGCACTCTTGCTCATCATAACTATGTACTTAGTTACTTTACTTAATACCCAGGGGCAGAGAAGAAGATTTTCAAAGAATTAATGCTTTTTCACTGTATAATCTATAGAGCCCCGCCCTAACACCAGAACCCCTGACCCTGGGGCCATGAATTTCAAAATTTTGAAAGAGGCACTCTTCCTCATCATAACTATGTACTTAGTTACTTTATTTAATACCCAGGAGCAGAGAAGAAGATTTTCAAAGAATTAATGCATTTTCACTATATAATCAATAGAGCCCCGCCCTTACACCAGAACCCCTAACCCCAGGGCCATGAATTTCACAATTTTGGAAGAGGCACTCTTGCTCATCATAACTATGTACTTAGTTACCTTATTTAATACCCAGGAGCAGAGAAGAAGATTTTCAAAGAAATAATGCACTTTCACTATATGATCTATAGAGCCCCACCCTGGGGCCAGAACCCCTGACCCTGGGGCCATGAATTTCACAATTTTGGAAGAGGCACTCTTGCTCATCATAACTATGTACTTAGTTACTTTATTTAATACCCAGGAGCAGAGAAGAAGATTTTCAAAGAATTAATGCATTTTCACTATATAATCAATAGAGCCCCGCCCTAACACCAGAACCCCTGACCCTGGGGCCATGAATTTCACAATTTTGAAAGAGGCTCTCTTGCTCATCATAACTATGTACTTAGTTACTTAATTTAATACCCAGGAGCAGAGAAGAAGATTTTCAAAGAAATAATGCACTTTCACTATATGATCTATATAGCCCCACCCTGGGGCCAGAACCCCTGACCCTGGGGCCATGAATTTCATAATTTTGGAAGAGGCACTCTTCCTCATCATAACTATGTACTTAGTTACTTTATTTAATACCCAGGAGCAGAGAAGAAGATTTTCAAAGAATTAATGCATTTTCACTATATAATCTATAGAGCCCCGCCCTAACACCAGAACCCCTGACCCTGGGGCCATGAAATTCAAAATTTTGGAAGAGGCACTCTTGCTCTTCATAACTATGTACTTAATTACCTTATTTAATACCCAGGAGCAGAGAAGAAGATTTTCAAAGAAATAATGCACTTTCACTATATGATCTATATAGCCCCACCCTGGGGCCAGAACCCCTGACCCTGGGGCCATGAATTTCACAATTTTGGTAGAGGGCTCAATGCTTATTACAATGATGCCAACAGTTTGACTGCTTGATGTCCAGGAGTAAAGAAGAAGATTTTTAAAGATTGCATTATTTTTGGTGGTTTTAGCCCCACCCCTCAGGCCCCAGGGGGGCAGGGACCATGAAATTCACAATTTTTGTTCCCCTTCACCCATAGGTGCTATATGCCAAATTTGGTTGAAATTGGTTCAGCAGTTTCAGAGAAGAAGCCAAAAATGTTCAAATATTAACGCACGACGCACGCCGACGGACGAGAACGGATAGCAATAGGTCATCTGAGTGACTCAGGTGACCTAATAAAAAATGATATTAACCTGCTGTAGAAGTTTGACTCTCGTGGCTCGGTCTGGAGAAGTAAATAGTTTGACAACACAGGGAACTATTCTATTCTGGTATTCTTCTGCATCCAGAAATTTTCCAATCTGTATGACAAGAAGACAAGAACATTCAACCATATCATATCACACCTAGAACATTTTCTGAATAGGTTAATTAATACACATATTTCTACAATATATTGCAAGCCCAGTGATAAGACAATAAAATACTGAACACCATTAAATAAAAGATATACAGGTGAAAAGGATTGTGTTGGCTGCTAGAAACAATTCAATTTTAAATAATCTTACCTTGAATAATGGAGCTAGAATGTGGGAGCCAGCATCACCATATTCAAATGCATTCAATAACTGGGGCAGAATCTTATTTTTACAGAAAGCTTTTGGAAATTCATCTAATGATGGTGCTAGATTGGCAAAGAACTTTGTTTTCTCTGACTGATCTTTGATCTAAAAAAAATCAATAACAATTTTTAAAACATCATTTCAAGATTGTTCCCCTCTAGTAATGTAATGGGTATTTTTATTAAAAATATGATGCTTCATTTTGAACAATAAAATATTTCCCAAATTAAGTACCTGAATTTCATCCAAGAAGAGCATTGTCTTGACAAATGAGTTCTGCATAAATCCATTACCAGTTCTACAGCTTTCAATGAATTTGGCAGGATTTGGGCGAGACTTTGGATTGGCTCCAACTAGTTCACAGTAATTTGGCACTAAAGATTTTGGAATCTAAAAACCAAACCATAAGTCACTGATAAAGATACACATGTAGCTCTACAGTTTAGACTGAAGATGCTGAACATCTTACAAGATATAACCTTTATTTCACTGGAAGAAGACGACAAGGTGCAGTATGTTAACATAATTTAAGGAGAAGCAAAATGATCTAGTAAAGAGACTACTGTTGAACCATCATTGTTTGTGGGGATTCAATGTGCATGGATTTTGTGGGTCACCCTTATTCACAAATTTACATCCCCACGAAAAATTATTTTGTCAACATATTTATTCATTGAATCTTTTGTATCTATGAGTTACCATGAAATTACATCCCCACAAACCAATTAAATTTTGCTTGCCCACAAACACTGACCCCCCACAAATTGATACGAATCCACAGTATTTCATCAATATAAAATATAATAAACAGAATTCAAAGCACAACAAGATGTTTTCTACATGCATGTCCTTTCATATGTTCTTACCTTTCCAACTGATTTCAGAGCACTAGTCTGTGTCAATGGGCCATTAAACACCTCCCATATCAAGCAACCCAGGCCCCACATATCAGTTGACCTAAATTAGAATTACCTTTACATGTACTACAATTCTAAACATTAATGGTAGAAAAGTCTCAATCACTAACATTGGAGTCCAGCACACTTGATAACTACAGTACATGGTATATGCTGAAAAGCTGGTAATGCAGTTCAATTTTTTAATTCAAATTAAATTGGATGCTTGTGAAATGAGATCTACAGAATCACAAAAATTTTTCTTGCATTAATGAAGTTAAAATTAATACTGTAAACGTACTTTATTCCACGGGTTCATAATTCCGCGGAATCAGAATTTCTGCTCAATCCGCGAGGATAAAATAATGAACATATCTTGCATTGTCATTATACGTCCTTAATGAATCTTTGGTAGGCTGCAACAAATTTCCGCAGAAAAATTGTGACCACATACATAGCGGAAATTAATCCCACATGGAAAAATGTACGTCTACGGTGTTTGAAATTAAGAAGAATTGAATGTGACAAGAAATGACTGTTGAAAATAAATTCATAATCTATTAATCTAAGATTGATAAGAATTACCATTTCTCTGTTCTTGCACCTCTTCGATTCTCTGCCTTTTCTGGTGGATCATATCTGTCAAGGAGGGGGAGGATTTTAACAGGAGGTACACTGTCCTGCCCCTGGGCAGGGTACATATAGTCTACACCCCCTAATTTCCACTCCCCTGCTTGATTGACAAACACAGAAGACAAACACACATTGTTGTGGATCAGATTACAGTCATTGATGAGGAATGACAAACCTTTCTGAAAAACAAAACAATAATGATAACAATAAATGAAACACTGGGTCCATTTTATAAATTACACATTCATTTCTATAATCAAATTTCAAACTTACAGCCACTTGATGGATGCCCCATGATATTGACATCAGATTTCGATTTTCTTCACTCTCATTTAGATAATTTTCAAGGGGTAAAACTGCTTCTGTGGCAAAGTAGATCACTTTATCTGTCTGTTAGGAAAAAAAACATTGCTTTCATAATTTTGTTATTCATTCATGTAATCATATCCAAATTTAAAGATACGAGGCATGCAATGCCATTCACAACAATGTAGTAATTGTAACAAACCTCGACCCCATCCAAGAAAGACACTATGTTTGGATGTCTAAGAGTCTTGATCCTCTTGAATGCCCCTTTAGCCACCTGTACCTAATGATATACAGAATCACTAAAATAAGAGTGTGCACTTGTGTTTGATGTGACATTAGATAAAAGGAAAAACTGGGTTAATTTGAAGTTCTGTCAACAATGCGTTAGTTTGTTTCATAGTGTACTTTGCATTGCAATTGCAATAAACACCTCTTTTCTTTTAAAAATACATTTACATGTACATAATTTCTTTGCACATTAGAGATCTTGAAATCATATTTGAATGAATTTGTTTAAATTTCTTGATTTCTTTGTCATCATAAAGAAGAAGAATACAGAGACTAATTCCTGAAGAACTCCATGACTACTTACTTGTGATTCACTGCTTGATTTCACATCAAAAGTAAATATGGTCACAGGTTCCCCTGTTCCCTAAAAATGTAAATAATGATAATCATCTAAAAATTAAAGCACGAATGAAAGAGAAATAACACAAGAGCCTGCATAAACTATCCAAATTACGTGGTCATAAAAATACAGTTTGACTCAATCTACATGAGATTCTGTGGTGGCAGATGACTGCAGATTATATTGTAACTACCACTGTTACTACACTGTTACCAATGCTTTAAACAAAAAATGAGATGTCCAAACCTAAAAGAACAAAGAGTACACTATCAAGTTGTATTGCAGAGTTCACAACTTTAGCACGTTAACTCATTCCAACAGATGCTTAAAGACACAACAGTGTACTAATAAGGCTACTTGCTCTCTTCTTTCTTAGACCATTTTGTTGAAAATGAAAAAAAAAATAGACAAAGCAGGGGATTGAGAATGTTGGGAAAACAAGAAAGATAGTGGGAAATCAAGGGAGCATGGAGGAGCAAGGGTAACAATGCAATGTGAAAATGTTAAAGAGTGAGAGAGTCACAGCAAAGCAGAAGGGGCAACAAAGTGAGAATGATATACATCAGTAACAGAGTCACCTTAATGACCTAGTTTACTGATATGTCTCATAATATTTGCAATGTATTATGTAGTAAAGTAAAAGGGGCAAGTAACTTCAATCCATACAAGTACATGTACCATGAACCTACATGGAGTTCTATGAACACTCAAAAAAGTTCATAATTTGGCAAATATCAGTGCAATATCATTTACATCCTGACAAATTGTGACTAAGCAAATCATTTTATCTTGCTACACTAACCATACATGTGATTCTTCCAGCAAAGAGAAAAACTCTGACTCGATATTTTAACCCCGTTCTGCCCATACCAATAGATAGTTTTCATATGACGTATTTTCTCTCCGAGTTATTTCCCTTGGCTGCCATCTTGGTGGTCAACCTGGTAATTTTTCCTCTTTGTCTTACCAAATCTAAGAGTGTGTAGCAGAAATATTTGGGGGAAAATCTTTATAGAATAAAAATTATGAAATAAAGGAGGCTTTATCAAATGTATATTTTTCAGAAAAACAATGCTCCTTACCCCACAATGGCCAGTATAAAAAGTTAAAGTTGGTTGAATAATGAAGGAATATGAGCATGTTCAGACCTCCAATATGCGACCAACGGGAAATAACTCTTGCTAATTTGGGCCTACTGAAAACTATCTATTAATTTTCACATCTTCTGTGTTTTGAAAATCGTCAAATTGAATATTATTTGACTGATATCACATTTCGTACGATTACTCAGTCAGTGTGAAAAGAAATTGAGATAACAACTCTAGTGCAATAATTTTTCACAGCAGTAGGCTTTGTAGGAATAAAAATGCAGTCATATAGGCCCTTATTAGACAGACCCCAAATTAGGTTGTAAAAATAAGTGATACTTGATAAGTGACCATGCATCTATGTTTATTACTGAATGCTGCACATTGTAATTAGTTGCTAAAATTCTTTTATGCCATCTTAATTAAAGCTCCAGTGGTCATTAAAAACATATATAAGTTTATTTAGGATATAACTTTGGGCAATACAGCCCATCAGTTTACAAAAATAACATATAATAACATACATTACAAAATTTAAGACTCTCAGTGAGCCAAAATACAGTTATTATTTTGATTAATTAATCGCTTTAAACATTCTAGTTAAAAATAGATCACATTACAGGGTATGTGTTACTAAAACACTTATACACCAAAATATGCCCAACTCTAATTTGTTGTATTTTTAAGAGAATATTTCCATTTTATCTATGCATATTCATGATATTTGACAACTGCATTCCAAACATTGTTGTTTTAAAAACAAATTTGGTGTATATAAAAAGATTTACAGTTACTAACAAGTTGATTAATCAGCACCAGATCAGGACTAAATTCTTTTGTGTTATTTCTTTTTTCAAATGAGCTAGTCTATTTTGAATACCAAATTTCACCTCATTTTATTAAATTTCACTATGTCATCAATATTTTTTAAATCCAAAAAAAAAATCATAAAATAAAATTTTAAAATAAGTTAAAAAATTGTGAGGTGTAGTTCTCAAAATTTTCAATACTTTTCTTTGGTGTCGGAGAGAAATAATTCTTCCAAAATAAAGGGGAAGGATGATCCTATTCAATTTGAAAAACTTTGATTAAAACATCTCCAGTTCTGAGACCCAAACATCATCTGAAAAATAAAATTCCTATCTCCAGTTGTCATTGTTCAACTTTGTCATATCTACGACTGTGGCGATGACCTGTTTCAAGATGCATAGTACTCTCTCAATATGTGAGGTCCTGACAGTCCGAAAATGCAGTAGATAGGTAGGAGTGTATGTTTGTGTGTGTAAGGGGGGGGGGGGAGGGGGGGGCTTGTGACCAGAATAACCTAACTTTCTAGTGGGCAATAAGTGCAATTGTAAGTTTAAGGAATCCACATCATTCAATGCGTAAAGGTAGTCAGAAATGTCACAACTGAATTATTCAGAGGCATCACATCACTAACATCACATTAGAAATGGTAAGTTATAAATATAGAGATACATGCACTATTGACCATGATTTACCTTCTTTTTTCCATGGTGAATAGCCCAAATCGACTTGTTTTCAAGACCAGTTATCTTTTCTCCTATATCATAATGAAAGTCTTTGGCCGGGTCACGAGAAAAAAATGACCACATCTTCATTAATCAATCAACCTACTTAATTCATATCAAAAAGTATATTTTACAAAGACTTTTAGTATATTTCATTGCGTGGATTTAGGAGTCGTGTCACAAAATAGTAGACATGCGCACTTGCGGTATGTCGTAAAAAGTATTCTTTATAAAAGCCGCGTAATATTTGTTATTTTACATAATTCAAAAGGAAGCTGTTAAGTTATACTTTGTTTAAATAGTTTTGTATGTTTATTTTATTTTCGATAAGTGCCTTGACATATCGGCCTAGCTTTACGACATATTTATAGTTGTTTACACTGGCAAACATGGCTTCCAATCCTTCACTGGTGATGCGGGTTCTGTCCGCCTCTGTGGCAGTTTCAAATCGCGCTAGCAACATTATTAGAAATGTTCTAACTAAAGGAGATCTGGGAATTGTTGAAAAGGTTAGTATTTGATATTTATTCGTCACAAGCAGTGTTTTGTGAAAGATATGTAAAGTGTGTGTTCAGACATGTTTTCGCAATATCTATTTATTGAGAAAATTGTAATTCATTAAAAAAAAATGATAAGGACATTCCCTGTATCTTAGTGTCATTTTACTGATTAAATAAAAACTACCACCGATATGCTACAATTAAAAGTAGGGTCTGTTGGTCAGGTGCTCCTGTGTCACATCGGATTTTCGGAAGAAAATTTAACAGTTTATAGTCAGTTTAAATGACTATATTTACATTTCCAATGTCTTTGTCCGAGATAAAATTACAAATTGTAAAAATCCTTTATTTCTACATAAATCTACTGGTTCATCGATAGGCGCTGTTAAAAAAAATCACGTGCAGGGCAGGACAAATAGAGACAGAAGCGGGACTATTAGCACGGGAATTTGCAGAATCAGGAGCATGTAAATATAAGGAATAACTGTCAGATTTTTTGGATTCATGACGATGATCAATCGATTGGCTTGCGTGATAATTTTATGCATAAATGCCTTCGGCATTTATGCAAGTTATCACGCAAGCCACTCGATTGATCACATCATGAATCCAAAAAATAAGACAGTTATTCCTTAAATATAGTGCTCATTATTGTATTTAGAGTTCAGCAAACTTTACATTACAGTTAAGTATGTTATTTACATTTTTTAAAGCAAATTATAACACAAGACATCTGTCACATGGTCAGGACACTCTGACAGTGTTCTATATTTATTCATGTTTACTCATTCAGCACACTCTAAATATATTAGTATGTGATTAAAATTAGTCACAACAACACTCAAAAATAAAATAACCTCCAAATAAAATTAACATTGTCATGAGAATCATATCTGAGTTTCTCTATCTGCTATTTATTTGGAAAAGATGACACATTACTTTTTACTTATCTCCAATGAATAATATGTATGGTAATTTCATTCATTTATTTCATTGATAACACTTCGAGAATATTTTTTAGTCTGACATACAAGATTAGAAATATTATTTGAATATAATGGATCTGTAAATTTTTACTCTATGTATGTCATCATTTAATTGATATAGAATGATTTACTTTTCTTGCATTGTGAATATCTTAATAACAAAGCGATGCTCAAAGTTTATGTTCGACATTTCACCAAGTTCAAAAAAGGGAATGAAGTATAATATTAAATTAGAACATTGAGTCAGACATATTTATGTTGGCAAGATTGTCTGCACATTTGATATCACTCATAAAGGTAAGAGTTAGATAATTATATCACCTGTTTTAAAAGGTGACAAAATAGAATGATGTCAACAAAAAATTAATGTTATTCCCATTCATGAAATGGAAAATTCCTCATGATCAGTGACAATATTAATTACCTTATTATAAGAGTGTAACAAGTAGACCATATATGATTTATAAATTCATTCCATATTTTGAACTTGATGTCACATTGTACAAAATAAGCAAACAATTTTTATCAGTTAATCAACACTTATAAACATTAGGTGAAGCTCTTTTAAGCAACTCTGTTTTTAAAACAAATGTTTAAATAGATTCAACTGGAGTCTGGAATACTGAATTATTCTTTTGAAATAATTGTTCACATATGGACACTTTTATTCATCTTTTTGAATGTAATTAATCAACATAAATATTTAGGCAATGATTTTTTGTGAAGTCTGAAGGTGTAAGTAAACAAGATTTTTTTTTTTTGGATTTTGATAAACAATTAAGAGTATAATTACACCATTACACATGATCTGCTGCAGGCAATAGAAAAAATAAAATGTACTGGAAATTTTGTTGCCGTTTTTTCATAATTACAGGTGTAAGTGTAGAAAATGGTGCGGCTTTAAAAATTGACGCCTCTTCCTGTTTTCTAAAATTGTGGAATAGGGAAAAATTACTTTAAAATATAGAGAGAAAAAACATGGATACTCTAGCATTTGTTTGCCCCCACACCTGTTAAACTATAGACTATTCATCACAAATGAAACAAGAAAATGGTGGAACACCTTTTCAAGACACAGGATGAAATAAGTTACTCCTGGAGGATGAAACCTATGGTCTGCAACAAAGCATGGAATTTTTTTTTTAAACACATGAACTTTTTAGAAAGAAAAACATATCTTTTTTATTTTGTTTTAAAAGTAAGCAATAGCATCCTCCTCCTCCTCTAAACATCAAAATCAGTCAATAAATCTATCAACTTATGTGATATATACCTAGTGAATATATTCTAGACTTCATGATACAGAGTATATGATATGAATACTCTTCTTGCTGTGTGATCAGGCTACATTCTGTATGGAAACAGATTTAGTATATAGATACATTTGCTTTAAATATATCTAACTTTTTTTTTTTTTTAGGGTAAAAATGACCTTCAGACAGAAGCTGACAGATCTGCTCAGAGATGTATTGTGGCCTCTCTGCACAAACAATTCCCAAATGTCGCCATTTTTGGTGAAGAGGTAAGTACATCATGGGCGTGCACCACCAGTTATATCAAAACAACAGGCTTTTAATTATTTGCACTTGATAAATAATAGTTTCATTCTAAAAGGAAGATTTTTTCTTAGAGATCAGTATCTCTGTAGAGTTTGCTCTGCACTAGAGAGAGATTAATTGTGGCATTTTGAACTTCAGGAAAGTGCTGGATTTCTGTAGACCTCATCTTAATTTGAAAAATATTATACAAGCCCTTTAAATGAAATAAGATAGCAATGTTGATAAAGACTTAAATGGATAGAAATGCTGATAGAGGACCTAATAAGAAATAAGACTCAGTTGCCACTATAATTCAAAGTTGATTATCATATAAAGTTAATTAGAATGTTTTTTTTTCAAAACCCTTAGAAGTTGGATTCAGTCAGTTTTATATTGTGTATATGTGTGTGTGTTTAATGAAATAGATTTTACATACAAAATTGATAATCAGTGTTTAGTTCAACTTAATCATTATCCTTGTATCTTTTCAATTGTTACTCAGTACTAATCAGTTGCTACTAGACGTGATAAGCAAAGAAGGAAAGGGAGTGGCCCTCCATTATGTGACATACTTCCTTTTGAAATGAACAAAAAAAACCTAACTTTTAATCATTTTTCTTTATCTATATTACAATCTTATGAAAATTTCTGAAAAACTGTTAAAAGTGTCTTAGATATGATCGTCTTTTTACCTACATATCAATATCTCTTAGTGTCCCATATATCCTTAAGTAATTTACTTTGTCATAGGAAGACATAACAAGAAGTGCAATAACCTATAAAAATAAACCACAGTATGGTGTTCTAACCTCTTGTGTTCCCCAATGGACTCCACCCAAGATTCTGGAAAGCTTGGATATTGCCCAGAATTTGGTATGTCTGCATATCATTTATGTGTGCATGCCATCTGCAAAGTTCAGAACCGATTCATCATTTAAATTTCCCTTGATACACTTCATTTAGCTAAGCTGAACAGATACTTTTGCCAATGGGGTAGATTATTTACTGATACATGTACTACTACCTCATTTTTTCTTTCAAAGTTATGAAGCAGATCATACTCCTTTAATGGTGTTGTTTTTTAAGAGTTAAGTCCCTTGATGCCATAAGTCCTCTAAGGTCTGTGTACCAAAGCAGCACTTAGCCCTACCCCTTTTCCTCACAATTTATATTATAATTGCTTTTTAAATGTACTATTAATTTAAACAATAAAAAGCTTTATTTGGTTGTTAGTATGGGGATTAATGTTGCAGCTGTTGCAGAAATTTTTTTTTCTGCAATAGCTGCAAAGTTAATTAATTCCCATACTAACAACCAAAGAAAGACATTTTCTTGTATATATTTATATCTGTATAAATAATCATACAAAGTAGGATTAAGTAGGTTAAATATCATATAATTGAAATTTACATCACTGCATGTTTCATTGATGGAACAGCCGCTGCTCAAGAAATCTGTACAGGTGGCTTGCTTAGCAGCGTTTACCAACTGATTAACAATCATGGTTTTCTTAAGAAATGAAGGTGATAATATTTAGTAGATGTAAATTTATCCTGAGTGAATTGCAATACCTGTCTACATCTTGATGAAATATGATGCATGATGGTCTCACCATCAGGTGGATCCTCCTTCATCATGTTCATTGGTTGTTTCAGTGCTGTCCACTACACAGGGTTGATCAGGTCCCAGCTGGGAACCACTCAGCTCTTCACCTTTGATCTTGAATGTCTATACACAAACACAAAGACTTTCTAGTGTTGCACTTTCCATTGTTCTTCATACCCACATGGATACCATTTCTGGTTTTCTACTTCAATACCCACATTGATACCATTTCTGGTTCTCTACTTAGACATCTGATGAGTTGCCGTCTCTCAGTGCCTGTTACTTTGATGACCCACAAGGCCCTCCACATAGACTGCCCCACAATTCAAAGCATCCAACTTTCACTGGAAGACACCATACTCCTCAGCATCACTGCTGACCATTTGCAATCAAATCTTGGTACTTCTGGTTGTGGGCTTCTTCCACTTTGTCCTCCCATGGCACTGTAAATTCTAGAAGAATATGCAGCCAAGACAAGGGAAATTAAATAACAATATCAGGTCTCTGATTGGTAGCTGCTATTTCTTGTCTATTCCTTCTGCCAATGATGCATTAAGAATGGTATGTACATCATTATTGAACTTCTCCCATTCTGCCTTGTTGCTACTAGCTGGCCAATTGATCTTTAAGTTAGCTTTGGTACTGCCTGCTGCACCCTGGCCTCACGTGTTTGCTGCTCTGCTGATGTTACTAATTCTCTTTGACTGCCCCCATTGTTGCCTTGCACATGGACACTTAAGTTAGAGTTCACCTCCTCCTCCTCCTTCTCACCAAGTTGCCCTGTGTGTTGTTTGTGTCACTTAATAGGTACACATTACTTCTTTCTCATGTGGATTAATTTTCAGCCCCTTGCTCCCTCTCTAAGGTCTTTCTACAACTACATGTGCTTATGATGTTCAAACTCCCAGTCCTTGGTCGTTCAGGTTTTGTTTCTATTAAATAATCTGAAACAGGTTGCTCATCCTCCCCTCGCTCTCATGCAATTCCAGGGGTATCTTTCTATGTATTAGTCTATGGTGGATTGTAAAGGTTCCTCCTCATGCCTGAGCTTGAGCCAGCTAAACTTCCACACCCTAGATTGCCTGTTTTCCAGACTGTCTTCTGACTATCCAGGTTGTCACAACCATATTCACAGTCGTCACCCAGACTTTCCTGGCAGTCACTGGTTCCCCAGAAAGGAAATAACTTTATACATCTTGATGAAATCAAGATGCATCATGGTCCTGTCATCAGGTGGAACAAAATTTGCTGTGTATGTATTTCGAAATGAATGGTTTTGAAATTTAGATATTTGTTTTTCTTTTAAAAGAAAATCAAATACTTACACTGTAAAAGTCACATATTTTCGAGGGGTCAAATTTTCGTGGTATGAGGAAAATATATTAGTTCATGGGGATTTGATTTCATGGATGAAGAATGGTTGAGTAGTAATATATGCGAAAAATTGCATTTTGTGGTAGACATAAATTTGTGGGTCTTTTCCTACATTGAAAACAACAAAAATCAACCCCCCACAAAAATTAGTGATTTCACAGTATATTGCATAAAATACATTTCTTATATTACCATCTATTTTTAGGGACTTTGGTTAAACTGTTCTGTTAATTACATAAAGTAAGATGAATACATCTAGATGGCAACCAGAGGTCATACCTCAGTAATTTTTTCTGTTCTGACATTCCTGGGTACATGTATAACTATATCATGTATATCCATCCTGATGTACGTCAACCATCAACCCCAAATCAACATGGAGAAAATCAGGAATTTCTTGCTTTGTTATCTCTAGGTCCTCTTTCTTCCTTGAAATAAGTTGATTCTCTTTTGCATACCCTTTCCTAGAATTTCTTCTTATAATATTGTAATATGATGTGTAAAAAGACAGTTGTCATATGTCAATGAAAATTTAAAAAAATTAAATTAGATCTGTGTTCATTCTTTTGAGATACAGTCAAACCTCACTATCTCATACTCATTTGGGCCACTTTGAGATAACTGAGAGCTCAAGATAATGAAGATGATTAACATACAAAAAGAATGGTTGTGACTTTCAAATCACTTTGACAAACAATGTATCTATGGTATTCAAGATGTTGATGTTTGAGGTACTGAAGATTGGATGTATTTTAATTTCAAACAGACAGGAAGAACATGTTTGATATCTTATCCTCTGTAAAATATTGATTGGAGATGTCAACCTGTACTGTACCTAGCTGCATACAATATATTACTTTTGATTTGGTATTTTTAGCAACTTGATCCACAAGAGAAGATTCCAAAAGATTTCATAGAGCAAGGATTTGATGCAGAAGTGTTGAAACACACATGCCCAGAATACCTCAAAGAAACCAAAGATGAAGATGTAAGATATCTTAGATATGAATTTATAATGATTCTCGGAGTATTATTACAGTGGACTCAAAAGATGTCAAACCTATTAACTCTGTTGAATATTTACTTATTTATAATTTAGGTATTATATTCTTAATGGATATATCAACTGTGTTCTGTGATTTACATAGTTACATAGTTTCATAGCCTAAATAAAAAATCTGTTTCAGAAAAAATTACATTGACAAAAAATCTTCAAAATATTAAAATGTATAAAATATATACAGTAAAGTTGATTATAGCAAAGCTCTAGGGACCCGTGAATTTACTCCTTTTATCTGTAAATCATTATATCCATATCCTTTTAAGTATACATAGTGAATTCACAATATAGATGTTTTTCCTTCAAGTATGACTACCAAATGTTACATATTTAGGGAAGTATATATAATACAAAATTTACCTTGGAGTTCGAAAGTTTTTGGATGCATTGAGTCTCAAATATAAATACTTTATACAAAATAATTATCAGTTCAAGATTTTAAAAATTGAGATCTTTGAAAATTTGCTCTAAAAGATGTAAACTTCATCATTTTTAACTTCTAGGAGACACAAAATCAGTTCACAATAACCATCAATGAGCTATTTCCGAGTTCATTATGTTTGTGAATTTTTACAAGGAATTGTTAAAAATTTTGCTGGAGATTGCAAAAAACTTTGCTATATCTGTAAATTCGCTATATCTGTGTTCATACTAATCAAGTTTTACTGTACAGTGATTTCATTTAATTTTGCAAGGACCAGAGTTCTTGGCTTTGGCAAAAAATTTAATTCTATTGATATATAAATTTATGGACAGCTATTGTCCTGTCATTAGTAAAATTTGTAGTTTTTAAAGTTGGTGTTCAACAAAAAAAAAAGATGAAACCACAGTATTTAATCATATACTTTTTTTTTTCCAATGTAAGGTCTCATACTATGTAAGAAAAAAATTGCACTTTTAAGTTTCTTTTTGTAAGCAGTTCTGAGATATATTTCATTTCTAGATATATATATATATATATATTTTTAAAAAGAAATGCTGTAAAGTGAATTTTTTATTACAGGTTGTAATATGGGTGGACCCACTGGATGGAACAGCTGAATTCACTCAAGGTAGGGTAGTGATTAAATGGTGTAACAGCAGCTTATCTACTTGTCTATCATCTGATGCCCAATGAATATGGCTGGGGCATATAGTGTTCGCCATGTCTGTCTTTCCGTCCTTCCCTACATTCACACTTACAGTTAAGTTCAGTTTCAAAGAAACTTTTCAATTTTTTTATCAAACATATGCCGATACATATTGATGAGTAAAATTCAACTGCATCAACAATTTTTTACCTTGACCTTTCCTTTGACCTTGACCTCACTTTCCTTAAATTTGTGTTTAGCTCAGTTTCAAAGAAATTATTTAAGATACGTTTATCAAACTTTCAACTGCATCAACATTTTTTGATTTTGACCTTTCCTTTGACATTGACCTCACTCTCAAATTTGCATTTAGATCATTTCAAAAAAACTGTTCTAGATATTTTTAAGTAAGCTTATGCACTGATACATAATTTGGTTAGAATTTATCAAGTGTGTCTGATTTTTTTTACCTTGACCTTTCCAATGATCTTTGACTTTTCTATTTATTGTGTATAAAACTCAATTTTAAAGAAACCAAGATATTTTCATCAATACAACTGATTTTATTATATGATTGAATAATTCCCATCTCTCTGATTGGCTGAGGTCCAACAATGTTAGAAAAATACTACGTTATATTGACCTGCACGTGACCTTCCAGGTCAATATAAGGAATTGTTTATTCTACATTGGGCAAAAATAGATAGGGAAATTCCAAATTGATGCAAATAGTTTTGTAAAGTTATTTCACTTGCACCTGACTTCCACTCATATGAACATAACATTAAGGCACATAGATTCTTGGGTTAGGGGGTGGGAGGGTTGCAGGAGGCCTGCCACTCTCCCCATCTTTTGAGAATGTAAAGTTTTAATTGAAATTTTAAGGATAAAAAATTTCAATGAAAGCCCCCCTCCCCTCGTTTTTGGACCTTTACATCCCATTTAATAAAATTTTGAGTTGGGAGAATTCTTTTCCTTTGGGGTTGGTCAAGTTTATATTTTGTTTTTCTTCTAATGCCCCCTTTTTCAAAATCAATCCTATATATGTGCCTGACATTTATTTCTTCCACATTGAACCTAAACTAGAATTAAAAATTCCCAAATAATACAACTGGTTGTTTTTTAACCCTGTTTCTCTCATTATGTTCGGCTAGTACTTCAGTAGATGTGAACAAGTAAGATGGCATGGATTGCTTAATGAGTGTGTGTCATTTAATCATTGAATCATATAATAAAACAATTATTGCTGTTTTTGACGTCAATATGATGATTAAGCCTCCCTCGAAGTACAATATTCTTCGAGCCCTTTGGGTGAATATTGTACCCCTCGGGAGACTAAATCATCGTATTGACCTCAAAAATGGCAATAATTGTCTAGTATTTAACCTTCCCCATGTACTGATGTTGAGAAAAAAGGTTGCCAAATAAAGTACAAGTATGGTAATCTGATTTTAATTCACTTTGAAGGCTATCTAGACCATGTGACGGTGTTGATTGGTATAAGTGTCAAAGGTAATGCAGTGGCAGGAGTCATACATCAGCCATGGTTTAACTTTGACAAGCCTGGACTTCCATTAGGCAGATGTATCTGGGGAGTAATTGGATTAGGTAGGTGTTTGAACATTCATTTTTGTACTTAACTAAATGATTTTTTGAGACAGGGAATACTGCATACCATGAAATTTTCAACCCCATTTAATTTTTGCCCTTTTTGCCCTTTCACCTTCGTTGCAAGTGAACGAATTGAAAAATTGAGCAAATTCAAAGAACACAGAAGTACTGTGTCCGTGTGAATTTAAAATTGGGCAGTTTGAAAGGGCAGAAATATTGTGAACAAATTTTTTTCTGCATGGGATTAATTTATGTACATGTTCACATTTTTTCTGAGGAAATTTGTCACAGTGTACTTAAAATGCATTAAGGGCATATCATGATAATCCAAGAAATCATAATTTTCTACTCCCGGATTGAACAGAAATTGTGGTGCCGTGGAATTATGACCCTATGGAGTACATTATTTTACAGTAACAACAGGCATTCCAAAAGAAATACATGTACATGCATAAAGCCTACTTGGACCAAATTAGCATGTATAATGCATCTTAGAGATACACACTATCAGACCTGCTCTGGATAGTACATTTTAAAGTTACTGAAAAATTAAAGCTTCTTTTCAAAACTATTCCAAAGTATCTATAAATCCTACCAAAACCAAACAAATGTTTCTTCTAGAGATGCACCCTACCAGAAAATTCAGTTGTTGTGAGACCTTGCCTTACTGTAATATGTATCAGTGTGAGCTTTGTAATCTTTGATTACCTATGTTTTTAACATGCTAACAGGTTCATTTGGCTTTGAGAGAGAGACACCCCCAGCAAATAAGATCATTATAACAACCAGCAGATCTCACTCAGACAGAATGGTGACAGAAGCTGTAGAGGCCTGTAATCCTGACGAGATAGTTAGGGTAGGAGGGGCAGGTCATAAGGTTAGTATCTATTTACTGGTAAGTTCAGATAATGATTAAGTATTAATACATTAACATTCATTGTGATGCTTGGGGATTTTTTTTACAATACATGGTATAAAATGGGTCAAGTAGAGAAATCTTTTTGTTCTTCTTTCCTCTTCTAATCTAATGGTTTCTTGAGCTGCATTTTTATTACCAACTTTATTATTACAAAAAAGTTTTTTCTAATGTGCAGTTAAAATATTTTACCTAGAAATTTTAAAGAAATAAAGGAAACATTCCTGTGTGTTTTTCCAGGTTCTTTTACTGATTGAAGGAAAAGTACATGCTTATGTATTTGCCAGCAAGGGATGTAAGAAGTGGGACACTTGTGCCCCAGAGGCCATTTTACATGCTGTTGGAGGCACCCTTACAGATTTTCATGGCATCAGAATGAACTACAGTGCAGATGTCCAAAGAAAAAATACAGGAGGAGTCCTTGCCACAGTTGCCAATCATGAAAAGTTTTTGAGCTGCATTCCAGAGCACATTCGAGATTGCATGGATAAGAGTAGTGAGGCCCCTCCTCTAGATTTTAAGGGGGTAGTCGTCTGTGGAGGTGCAGACTTGAAAGAGGCTAAAAAAGATAGTGCTACAGTTCCTGATAAAAATCCTACCATTGATAATGCTACAGGGTCTACTTCCTCCAATGCTGAAACAAATCACAAAGAACCCAGTGACTCTGTGCCAAATGAATATGGGAATACCAAACTGTAGTCTATTATAATGTTTAGTATTTCTTATTTTTATATATATTTGTATATGCAATCTCAGCAAATAAAACTAGTTACTCTAAGAGCTTTTAATGCTAATCAAATTTAATTGATTGAGTGATGGAGTGCAATGTATTATTTGGGACAATGTTCATTCTATGTCTGCATTGAATCAGTTTGTAAATATATAATAATTATAACGGCAGTGGTTTGGAGCAATATTTGTTAGTAATTTGCTGATTTGGTATTTTAGAGGAGTAAATGTTTGTTATGTTTAATCAGAGTCTATTAGGTCTGTCTTCCTGTAAGTATGTGTATGTGTAATTGTCTGCTTCATGCATTATGTTTCCTTCATATTCACCATGCATTCTGTATAGTTAACGAAAATAATTTGTGGAGTGAAATTTCACTATACTCATCCTCTCAGTAAATTAACAAATTCAAAAAGCAGTGCATAATTTGTTAAAAAATCATTGTATTGAAATCGAACTTATGATTGATTTTTGTACAAGTTTAGATGACAATGAAGTCTTGAAAGTAAAATATGTGAAATTATACCCCCACAAAATGTAACCATTATACACCAGTTGCATTAATATTAGTTTAAATTTCTAAAATACACATACTTTTTCTTAAAGTACCTTTTCTTCTAATATTTCCATGAATCGTAAATGAAATAAAAGTTCCTGTTCAGTTTGGTGCATGAATTATTAAATATTAGGTGAATCTAGATGTTTCTTTTTTTCATGTAAGGAAAAATAAAAAAAAATCTGAACCAAATTCACAAATTCAGATTTTGTTGGCTCAGGCAGCATGCATCATTTTGATAATTTTAGGTGTGTCTGTTTAGATGTCACATGTACATGTTCACTTGATATTATTTCTTAGAATATGGATCTTCCATTATTCTAAAGCACCTGCCAGATAGTTTTTATCTTTTTACTGATGTGTTTGTGTTGTTTGAGGTAATTAAGGTCCTTGTTGTAGTGCCATTAGATATGTAATGTATAGACTCTAGTTTAATTATTGATGTGATTCTGTATCATTTTTAATGTAACAAATTTCCACTTTGTTTCAATATATCAGATGAATTACTTAGAAAATGTATCATTTTTAACATTTGTAACATAGAGATAAAACATTTATGTACTTGCTGTCCTTTTTTTTTCCATTTTGTGATGTTAAAATATTGCTTTTTCTTCTTATGATTAAGTGTTGTTCATGGAGCAAGGCATGTTTAACAAACATTTCTTTTGAGCACCCTTCAACTAATGACATTGAGCTAAACTTAAGTTATTTACTGGTAGAGTATTAGATAAAGTTGTAATCACATTGTTTGCACTTATTTATTTTACTAGGAAGTTAGTTCATCCAGAATAACAATATAATGAAGGGACTTTTTATCTGTAGATTGAAAGACTGAAACATCTACATGTAAATCATCTAATAGACAGTTATGTAGTCCTGTAGTCTCTTTTTTCATACATCATACAAAATAAACAAAATTAAAAGTATTTCTAGTCATGCAAATATGAACAGCTCTTTCCATCTCAGCTAGGCGCATGGTAATCACCTAAATCTGATGTTACAGTCATTTTATTGTTTCCCTTTAGCAGAGAAATGCATGGTGTATTAAACTTTATCATCTGTAATGGGTAATAAAAAACTTTCTTAACTTGCTTACCTGTGAATGCAACTTTGGGTGGGTGGGGGTGGGGGATGATTCAATCTTGATAGAGTATTGAAGTATTTGGTATTAAAAATTTTGGAATATGTCTGTATATTTTGTATGAATTTGTATTTATATGTATTTGTTCTGTTACTGTTCGAAAAATAATTATTAGGAGTTACTAATTCCAGATTTTTAAACTCAAACATTTTTTGAGAAATACATAGTAATGAAACTTGTCAAAAATTACATTTTTACTTTAGATTAATTAAATTATATAACAGAAAATTTTGATGTTGTCTCTTTTGTAAGCTGTGGAATATATCATTTGAAAGAGTCCATTTCAATTATAATCTAAAAAACAGACAACATACTGGAAATCACTTTTTATTGCGAGAACTTTATTTTCGCATAATTATGCGAGGTGGTCTGCTCACGAAAATTTCATTCTCGCATATTAGTATAGATTATTATACAACAATACCCAGAATTTATGAGTATTTTGTCTCTCTTATACATACATGTACCAAATACCTATCTCAAAAAGATACTATATCGCAAAAAATTTGGTGATTTACAGTATATAGTAAAGTAATTAACATAGAGGATTTTTTTGGCAGAACTTGAGATATCTGAGTGTTCCAGATATTGAAATAACACCTTTTGAAACTTTGATTCTATGCTACATGAGAATTACATTTCAGTTTGACCAATAGTGGTTCAGTATATCAGTATATCCCCCCCTCTCCCTTCCCAGCTCTGTTACCAGATCCCTTGAATTATATTCATATGTGAAATAGCATACACACACTTAAGAAGGCAAAAACAATCATTTCTTAATACTATTATATAACAATTTTTCTATATAAATGGGTCTTTACAAATGACTCTATCCTCAAAATAGGAGTAAAAATATACATTTTTTGAAAATGAAAATAGAGCAAAGACCCACTATACTTTAAAAAATTTTATTTTTATGATACAACATTCATCTCTTTCCGAGAAATAATTGTAGTCCATTTAGTCAAGGGTCATATCACAAACTTGTTTTAATTCCACTGTTTGTTAATAGATTTATGGAATAGTGGTTAGCGTGTTAGTCTGAACGAAAGAATGACATTCAGGGTTTTTATTACTTGCAAGGGTTTGAATACCAGATGGAATAATTTTTGCTGAGAGAATTTTTCACAGAGAAGCTTTGTTTGTAATAATTTCAACCTTTCAATGATAAGAACTTTATTCTAAATACTACATGTAGTACTAAATTCAGAAATTAAATATGATTTTTTATATACTTTTGAAGCTATAGACATTTTGCATGCCTTCTTCTCCCCTTTCCTTTTTACTGCATAATCGAAGCTTTTAGACATGCTATAACCAGTAAGACCTTTTTTTTTATTAGTTGTTCTTCAAGATTTTTTTCCTAAAAATTAGGTTGGTAAATAAAAAAGAAGACTCACATTTATGTCAGAATTTATAATTACCCCCCCCCCCCCAATAAAAGAAAGAACTATATGCAGTATATGCCTATTTTTGCCCGCACAAATGTCATATTTGGAAAATTTCTTGAAATATGCTAAATTGTGAATATTATCTGAAAAATCTGAATTAACCAAAAAAAAAAAAATTTTAGTAGGATATTGGCAATTTTTATTTCTATGATGCCACAAACTATTTGGATTTTGTGTTATTTTTCAGAAAGAAGACAAAATAGACAAAATTTGTTCAATTTGTACTATATAATTTACAGAGTGCAGACCTGCTCCATAACAATATTCACAAAATTTCATTGATATTATCATTCTACACATTATTTCAAATCATTGAGTTGGAGCAGACCTGCGCTCGGTGACGTTTACTCAAAATATTACTTAATATAACGTTACACCTTTTTCTCTATAAATCATGGAAAATTCGAATTTACGTCATTTTCCTGACGTCATATCTAACATATATGATGTCATGGCTGAGTAAAATATTTAATGCTTTGAGGTCTGCAATTATCCCCCCTGTTTTATAATATAATTATATATTTCTCCATCAAGGTTCGATTTTGGGGGCAAATTGGTCATTACCGAATATAGTCATTTGAAAACACCCTTTAATAAAATCCCTTTTTTTTAACAATGTTCAAATCTTATTAATTTTATATTTATCCTGATTTTCCCAACAAATATGGGTTGGATAGATTCATTGACTTAAGGTAGGTCGCGGGTTTGCTTTTGTCATCAATATTGGTACACAATTTCGACGATTCGAGTGGTTGTTTTATGCACATTTGATTATGACGTCAGTTACGTCACAAAGGCGACGTTGCGTTGTTTCCCATATAATTCTCTGAAAATAACTTCATAAATTATCGTAAATTTCTTAGCCAAAAAACTTGAAGGGTTAAATGTGCGCACGTAATTTGCACCTCAAAGGGAAGTGCGTATTACACCATGTTTGCCGGGGCGAAACTTTTTTAGGATGGAATCAATCATCAACACTAAAAACGGATGAAATTTAATTACAATACATGTATTTTCCTGTTATTATTATTTCAATCATCATAATTATTATTTGTTTATTTTGTATTTGAATCTCCTGTAATCGATATGTACATGCAGGCTAACGAATTGTGAAATGCATTTAAAAAATAAATTTAAACAAACACCCGGACTATCAGACCTATATATGAGACTGTAAACAATTTACAAGTATCAAGTACATTTCTTTCTATAAAAGATTAAAGCTCTCTGGGTATAAGCTAAATGCAAGTGTATTACAATTTGATTGAGAGAATCCGAAATTAAGAAATGTTTGAGAGTTAGGACTATATACTAGCTTGCGACTAATGTAGAAAGAACATTGCCGGTAACCCCCCCCCCCCCCATTTTTCTCAATATTGGTATGTTTTTTCTTCACCGTTTTCGAATGAAGTGATTTGCCTGAAATCTGTCTGAACATGAACATCCTAAAAATACATGAATTAATATTTTATCACTTGCCGTGTTGTCGCTGCATGTTAATTCTAATACACGAGAAATGTTTAATATACTGTTCATTCTGACTTTGTGGGCAGAATACTAGTGTAAATAAGTTGCTGGTCATCCTGATGTTTAAATACTCGTATGTAAACGTGATTACGTTCAACACATGACGTAGTAGTCATAAATAACGCCATAAACGCAACATTTTGGCAATATAAAAGCAAACTTTGAAATTATTTAGCAAAAAAACTAGCGAGAAGACATATTGATTTTTTTTTATCTCAATAGTTTTAATTTTACCTCATCTGGATATTTTGAAATTCCTGACTAATTCGTCTACGTCTTTAAAAAGTTATCCAACCTTTTTTAAAGAAAATCTTTCCGCAAAATTGGCTTAAAAACGTCATTTTTCTATATATTTCAACAGTAAAGCGTAAAAATAGTACTAAAACTTATACTGCGTTTACAGTTATACAGCATTTAAACTACGTAGACAAATTTAATAAAAATTACAGATAAAATGCTATAAATTCTTAGGAACATTATATCAAATTTTTAGGATATGTTTTCTCGTAAGAATTTTTAAGCAGTAAACCCGCGACCTACCTTAACTGACCCCACGGCCCTAATTATGTCAGTGAAGGAAGTAGAAGCAAATTACAAATGAAGCATATTACAAAATTTGATATCAACTTCACTGGAGTCATGAGAAATCAAACCATAGATAGATAGGATATATCAAAAGCTGATAATCCTAAAATTATACAATTCAACTTTTTAAAAACTACAAATATGTCCTTAGGACACGAATGCCCAGCCCAGGGTTCATTAGTAATACAACATGAAAATCTGTATAAGTGTATGAAGTTTAATGAAAATATCTTGAATAGTTTCTTTAAAACTGAGTTTTATACACAATAAATAGTAAAGTCAAAGGTCATTGGGAAGGTCAAGGTAAAAAATAAAAATGGATACTGTTGGTAAATTCTCACCAAATAATGTGTCAGTGCATAAGCTTACATGAAAAATATCTTGAATAGTTTCTTTGAAACTGAGCTAAACACAAATCTGAGAAAGGTCAGATCAAGCTCAAAGGAAAGGTCAAGGTCAAAAGTGTTGATGTCATTGAAAAGCTCTCATCAATATGTATAAGCATTTAAAAATTGTTAAAAGTATCTTGAATAACAAAGTCAAAGGAAAGGTCATCGTCGCAAGCCACGGGTTTTGTGTCCATTTTATTTCCACACAAAACCTGTGGCTTGCGACGATGAGGAAAGGTAAAAAATGTTGATGCAGTTGAGTAGCTCTTTCCAACATGTATCAGCATATTAGATTTGATTAAAATATTTAGAACAGTTTCTTTGAAACTGAGCTGACACTTTTTTTAAAGAAAAATGAGGTCAAGGTCACAGGAAAGGTTAATACAAGTTGGACAGCTCTAATCAATATATATAAGCATATAAGTTTGAAATTGAGATAATCACAAATTTAAGAAAGTAAGGTCAAGGTCATGGGAAAAGTCAAGGTCAAAAAATGTTGATGCATTTGAATAGCTCTCATCAATATATATCAGCATGTAAAGTATGATAAAAATACCATGATCTAAACACAGTGTGACTGAAGGATGGAAAAACACATGACGAATACTATATGCCCTGGCCATATTCACGGTGGGGCATAAAAATGAGAAAAGTCTTTTCATGGTAAAGAATTAAAGAAAATTCCAAAATTTTAGAATTTTTTCAAATTCTTAAAAATTTCAGTCAGTCGGTCTTGTGAAACAACTATAAAGAAAGGGGGTAAGCAAGATTATGAGATCATACATGTATGCATGAGTGTAGGATTGATAAATTCATGAAAGAATAACTTAAGGTCACAAGTCATGAGTCACTCGGGTGACATACTGCTATCTATTTTCACCCGTCGTGGTCCATTGATTAATTTCATTTATACTTTTTCAGTTTCTTCCCTGGAATGGCGAAACTGGTATAAATTAGTAACTATGGGCAATAGGAAACAAAAATTGAAAATTTAATGGTCTCTGACTCCCTTTGGCCTGATGG